AGGTGCACAACCCACTAAAAACCAATTCTGAAGGCAGGCTGCTTTGAGTCACTCAAACGTTTTACCATGAGATTTTTTTTTCTCCAATTTCTCTCAGTCTAAAACACAGGCATGTTGGGCCTTAACCCACAGCTGGGGTGTGAAGTGCGACACTGCAGGGCCTCCATGCACTGATAAGCCACAACATAAAAATCACTGAAACCTTTTTATAGTTGATCATGTTGTTACAAAGCAATGTTCTGCTTTGAAAGCTTGGGTTCTGGTGTTACCAGCGCCATGCAGCACCCAACTAAACCTGACTGCAGACCATGCACGCCTCTCACAACATCCTGGTGCTGGATATCAAAGGATACCACTGTCAGTGTTGTTCTCTAGTGGGAGGTACACAATATTGGGCAGGTGGTTACAATGCTGTGCTTGACAGGTATACATCACGCTGTTATTCATGGGAAGAAAAGAAAGCAGCAGAGAGCGAGAGATGACAAGATAGAGTCATAAGTGAATGGAGAGATGATAAGAAAGGAGAAAGAGTATTTAGACCTGTGGGGACAGATCTGGACAAAAGATGTATGGAAGTCAAAGCATTGTGTGTAAGAAATTAACTAAATTAGCCATAAATACATATATATAAGCCCTTCATCCAACAGAGATGATGTCAGGCCACAGAAAACCTCAGAATACAAACACATTTACTGACAGTCAAACACACACACATATATAGATGCACCCACGCAATCACATAGCCATTCACATAAACACATGCGCCTGCGCCACATATCACCCCAGCTGCTATGCTGGATTCATCCAAATATGGCTGGGGATATTTCCATGGCAACAGCAGGCAGAAGGGGTGCAGACTCATGCGGGATGATCTCCAGAGAGACTCTGCTTTTTGACTTTTTGATTCTAACTATTCACTTTCAATTCATTCAGCAGTATATGAGTCTCTTCAGCAGAGTCAGAGAGTCTGCCTCTTATGGAAATACAGACAAACCAGCACTGGTTACACGTTGGCTGACACAGTAATTCCCTGCAGCACCGCAAGCCTTCAAAAAATTTCCATCTACTGGTTTTAAACACATTTTGTAGTTGAAACATTTGCCTTTTTTACTTTCTAACCAATGTTCTCTATCTGTTTTAATACATTTACTTTGTGAGAAATAATGTGCACATTGTTACTAGCACTTCCCTGAAATGCGGCGTAACAGGTAACTGAGAAGCAGTGCTTGAGCAGGAGACATATCAAAGTATAATAGCCGACCATAAAATGCAGAAAATCTCACTAAAGTGGCGGCTGAAACTGATTTATCTCTCGCTGTCACTAAAAAGACTTCATCAGACTTCATAAAGGAGATAGTGTTTCACTTGAAGACAAATAGGAGGCTACTAAGTTGACAGAGAGAAAAACTGATGCTATGACAGAACCTGCATTTATGTTATTGCACTGAGTGTGCGGGGGTATCTACGTGTCCCGTGTGGATATCGATTTTTATCTCAGCCCAGCTATTCATTAATGGGCTTGTAGCCCTCTGGCACCATAAGGAATTATAGAAGAGAAGCAATAAACATATTCAGATGCAGGAAGGAGAATCTCTGGGTCTACATTATGCTGCCTATGGGTCCGTGTGTGTAAGACATTAGTTTTCTTGCGATGTGATAGTGAGCCCCAGGACCTGATTTGGGTGTTAAGATTATTTCAAGAGGGAAGAAGATAAAAAATATAAAATCAGAAAAGCACTTAAACAAAGCAACCATTGAGGGTTCATAAAATCGGCAAAATCTAAATTTCAAGTTGTTGCAAAACTACAGAACTGAGGAGTTTGTAACAAATACAATGTTACGTGCAACACTGTTACACTGTTAATGTAGGAGCCGAGCCTAGATGTAGAATAGTCTTAAAATGTGAAGGGCACAGTGAGGGATAAATTACAGACCACCAATTTACTCAGATTAAATGCTTGTATTTCATGTGGCACTTGGCTTATTTAAACAGTATAAATATGGACCCTGGCGATCCAGAGATCTTGTGGTATTCCATGCTCATTTGCCCTCCATAAACCTGCTTTATCATCATCTTTGTGATTCTGCGGTAATCTAATTATCCTGCATTATACACCTGTCTCCCCAACTGGATTAATCAGAAGCTCCTTTCACAGACCTCCAGTTAGCAGGGCGCCCACCCGTGACCATCTCCAATTTACAACTACAGTTCATTTATGATAGTGATTCCTAAGGAAAGCTGGTTTTTAATTAATTGACCAAATCAAAACAGACTGGCTGATTTTTAGTCCTGATAACTTCTGCTGAGTGAAGAATAACTCTTCTGTTTTCGTTACTAAAACGGAGATGACGACGATGTAATTGTGACACCATAGTGATGTCCCACAGCTGACTTTTTTCCTACACTTCATTATGCATTGCAATTGATGGGTCTCATTCACTAATGTGGAAAGAAATTTGTTTTTTGTACATAAAATAACTGCAAATTTGTGACATGTGCACACCAGATGATTTTCTTCTTACCACCATTTGTATGTCAGTGAATCAAGTCCAAACAAAAGAATCAAAGTAAACTTAAACAGATGAGGAAAAAAGAACGCAATGCAGGAAAAAAACAACAGAATCTCTTCAGTTACTGGACAAACATCAGTAAGCAGGTATTTGTCAAAACCTTATAGTCACAATCACAACATCCCGCTAGGATTAATGGGTCATTTTCATTGTTATTTAATGCACTAGTAACAAGGTGGTTTAATTCAGGCCTTTTTCGTGAATCAGCTTGACTTTATCATTTGTGAATACTCATGATATCCAGCAGAGTGTGACCAAATTCAGGCAAGGAAACATTGATCAATCACAAATTTGTATGTAAAACGTTCACATGCACAGTTTGTGAATGAGGCCTTTTGTCACTGTTAATTTTATTTTTTCCCCTGGAGGTTCTGTTGAAATTATCCATTAAACTCTTTATATCATACATAGTCAGACCTAACAAAGAACTTCTCCCCTGACAGTGCATCAAAGTTACGACTGATTAAGTCCTTTAATTCTGTGAGGACAGAAAATGTCTGCCTACTTCATGATCGTTCTCTCTCTCTCACTTCAATCTCTAATTGCAGACTGAGTACAGTAGACTTTACCTCATATAGACAGCGATGATGATGATGATGATGTTGATGAGGAGGATAATGATGATGATGAGTAAGATGGTAATGAGCATCAAGGTGGTGATGACAACAAATATGATGCAGGGCATGATGATTTAGTGAAACAGCAGAGATCACTGGGGGGAAAAGTAGAACAGAATTGGAACCAGTTACACTTGTGCCATTTTAAAGGCAACCCCATCATGTTGTTTCCAGTATATGCAAAAAGCTATTGTTTTTCCTCTTCGCATGCTGGCTGGCATAGGTGCTAAAATCATTATTCATCTTATGTTAATCAACAGTTGGCATGGCAACCGTAACTCGAGAGGCTTAGAAGCAACTTTCATACAGACGTATGTAGCCACACACACACACACACACACACACACACACACACACACACACACACATATACACAGATGTAGGTAAAAACTGTTGATTTGGAAAGTTTTTCTTTCTGCATATCAATTCATCCACACAGAAATGGAGCTTTATGTGAAAACGACCTCATATAACCAAATGTTAGTGCATACTCTACCACGACAATGTCTCTAGTTGTAATACTGAGTGTTTATCACCACTCCTGATGCAAAAAATGTAGCTTTTCCATAAACTGGCGTTTTGGGTTTGTCCGTTCATTCATTATTAACTGCGGATATTATTTTATTTAAAAATTAAGGCAGCTTTTCTAAGGAATACCTCAAACAAGACTTAGAAAATGATTGTTACATTATCTAATCATTTCCTGCAGCCTTCACCCCCGTCTGTGGCAGAGACAGATCTCCATTTATGAAATGCATCAGTTTTTATTTCAGTTTCTAGAATTTTATAACGAAGTCTTTATCTGTCCAACTCAGCTCAGTCGTTTACAGCAATTGGTGTGTCCATTAAGCTTATGTTTGCAAAAGACACATTCATTTATTATTATTATTATCATTATTAATATTATTATTATAGATATATCCAACAAATACAGTTCAATCAGTCACAACCAGCTGGGGATGTGTGCAGCACTGCTAGTCAAAAACCAGCTACTTTGAAGCACAGACTGGGCTTTGAAGTCTATTCATCAGCAGCATGCACATTTTCTGCAAAAAAACAAAAACAAAAAACAGAGCAGAGACTAGCTGAAAGTATATATTTACCAGATGGGTTCTTATTAAATGTTCATAAGTGTGGCTATAATGGTTGTTATTGACACTTACATTTCTGATTTTTTTTTTTTAGTTTCAGTTACATCAGTCAGTTGACCTCCAAACATGCAAAAACCATCACAAAACCATCCAACAGTGCAACATGAAATCACTAAATGTCTTCTTTTACCAGCAGACGAAACAAATTCATGAAAAACAGATTTTAAGCATTTTTCCAGAAAGAAGTGCTTAAAATATTATTTTTAACAAAATGTTTAAATAAACATTGATCCAGTTATCGACTGATCAACTAAATAGCTGTGTCTGCAATTCTCAAAGACTGAGAGGGTTAGTTTAGAGAAGAGCACTAAGCCACAGCATCTGCCTTGTAAGGACAGATTTTTTTCATTATTTTCCAGCTAATGTTTTTTAATTGATTTAATAACACTGCAATCTGCAAACCCACTGGCTACTCTGCTGACTGAAAACAGATACTTTTTTAAGCCTTCCTGTAGTTCTTTCACAAATTCCTCATCAGTCTACTGGTCAGTTTGTGAATGCAAATAAACCTAAAAGGCCTATGAAAAACAATATCACTCCCATTTGAGCTTGCATTGTGGCCTAAGGCTTTTATTTTCATCAAACCGCACAAATTGAAACCTCCAGTACCAAAAACACAGAGGAGTTGCATGTTATAGAGTACATATTTAGCCCCACTAACCTGCCGATGAGAAGAAACTCTCCAACCAGTCCCTGGCGCCTCATAGCCATGAGGATATTTCGGACAGTCATGCCTTCACAGAAACATGCCACTACTCTAGCCTTAGGCAGATGGGCCCTCAGTCTCTCCAGCAGCCGATCAAAGCTCTGCTCTCCGGCATTGCTCCAGATTTTCCCTGTCACACAAACACAGTTCTGTGATTCTCATGTGGTACTCACAATGTAAGCATTTTAGAAGAAATTAAAAAATGAACAACACAATGACTTACAATCTCACCTTCTTTAAAAAAAATACTATTCCTGTTTATTTAGAATTAAGCTGTACTTTAAAGTAATTTTGACTTTTGTTTAACAGGCTGTTTGTGTTGACAGCATTAGGTGTACGACACAGTAGAGATGGTAATGCCCTTCCTAATGCTAAGCAGCACTTTATGTGGGTAATGCACTTCTGCTCAATTGCTTTTGAATCAGTACTAAACTATTTACTAACTAAAATTCCAGCAAGCCTTTTCCGATTTAATATATTTTAAACAATGTTTATGACTCATACAGTTGACTTCACTGTGGTTTTTTTGACCTGCGTCTCTTACCAGAGTGGGCGATACAGATGCCCTCCTTGGCTGCCATGTCCTTGAACGCCCCCATCCCACTTTCACCATAGTTCCCTAGAAACACACAAAAAAGGTGACATTTTTAATTAGTTCAGTTTTGAGGCAGAATTACTTAACTTTTTCAAAAGGAGAGGAAAATGTCTCTGTGTCGACAGATGGAAGCACATAGAGAGATAGATGAACTACTCCACACAGGAACTTGGGAAAATGTCAGGAGAATCAAGTCTAGACATTGCCCAAAGTTGCCCTTTCTCACATTTATCTCACAGCAGTTGAGAGTCCACTTCTGATAGTTTCTCTCTACTGGAAATCCAAGTGAAATAATGGGTTGCATGGACAGAGTAAGCCATCACACAGATTTTGTGGTAGGGAATTGGCAGATCAATGATGATTAAAGATCACTTAATATCGGATTCAATAGCAGAAAGACAGAGTTTGGCACCTTTCAGACCTGATGTTGCTGAGCTGGCCATTTCATTCCCTCCGTTTAAAAATGTACCAGACTATTGATTTTTCCCACTCATTAAGTTTTTCCTGTCTATCCGATGGGTTTATTTTGGGCTTTTTAGACTAATAATGGCATCACTGGTGCCCTGTTCCAGTCTGAGGTCCAGTCCAGTGGTACTGAATAGACTGAAACATTGATTTAGGTCAGGCAATCATGGGGGCTAGTCAATAGCAACGGTTTCCCAAGGAACTGCCTGTATACTCTCACCATATGAGGCCGGGCATTGTTGTGCACCAGGAGGAACCCTGGACCTGCTACACCACCATAGGGTCTGACGATGGATCTAGGCATTTCATCCCAATACCTAATGGTAGCCAGGGTAGCGTTGCCTAGCTAGAAAAGGTTTTGTGCATCCCTCCATGGATATGCCTCCCCAGACCATCACTGATATACCATCAATGCTGAACGGTGTTACGCTCTCCACGACTTCTTCCTGGCTCAGGGTGAACCTCCTCTCATCTTTGAAAAGCACAGGGCACCAGCGGTGGACCTGCCATTTCTGGTATTCTATGCAAATGGTAATCAAACTCCACAGTGCCAGTCAGTGAGTACAGGGCTCCCTAAAGGATGAAGTCCGTTTCTGATTCGTTGGTCAAAGACATTTTGTTGTACTACCTGTGCAACCTCTGTAGCGTCCAGGTATTGCCTTGTGATACCAGTAGTGACACTGCCTCTAGCTAAAAGCTAAAACTAGTGATAAACCAGTCCAAAAAGAGGTGCAGGGGAAAAAACATCTGTGGCCTCCAGCTGTAACACCTTTTCTGTTTTAGGGGTTGTCTCACCGTTGCCCCTCTAGTGTACCTGCTCTTAATTTCATTAACACCAACAGCTGAAAGTAATTACCCCTCCTTCTTAACTGACCAGATAAATATTGCATTAGTTTAACTGGCCTGATGCTACATCCTGATTAAAAACAGTTTCACTTTTGTCATTCACAACTTGATTGTCGCATTTAAAATCCACTGTGGTGGTGTACAAAGTCAAAATCACAACAATTGCCTTTGTCCAACAAATTGTGGACTTAACTGTAGACAGATAGATGCCTGCATGCTGAAATTTGTGTCAGAGAAAGCATCTCCCCACTGTGGCACCCCTTTCTTTGCCAGAGAAAGTGGGTGACCTGGAATTTATGCTAATGAAGGGTTGTACACACTGGCAAAGAACATGATAGGATTCCCCTCTCTAATTTTTCCTCCTCTTCCCTCTTATCTCCTTCCCTTCTCAATGTTGATTGAAGAAAAGATCAAAACCCCCCTCTTTTTATCTAATGTTTGTTTCTTCCGGTGTGTTTGTAACAGAATGCAACCTAATTACGCATCATTGATCTGTGCAGCACATAAATTGATGAGGAGGAAAAAAGAAGAGGTCAAGGGAGAAATGAGGAAGAGAAAAATTATACAGAAATTAGAAGCGGTCCCACAGTCCCAGACCACTGTGGATCTTGCTCTGTGTGTGTGTGTGTGTGTGTGTGTGTGTGTGTGTGTGTGTGTGTGTGTGTGTGTGTGTGTGTGTGTGTGTGTGTGTTTCTGTCTACAGTCAGGCCAGTCAGTGTGGTGGAGTGAAGTGTAAAGTCCTGTAATTAGTGTCTCAGTGAGAGGAGTGGGAGACAGATGGTGCAGACCATCCTTTGACACACACACAGACGTACGCACGCACACACACGCACACACACACACACGCACAAACACACACAGCTACCATCATCAAAATCGATAAAGCTTGTAACCTACTTCACTCAGGACTCAACAGGGATTTCTGTGTGAGACATCTCGCCCTCTCTCACTTTTTCTCTTTCAGTAAAGTTGCCGTGGTTCTCTTTAGCTCTCTTTTTCTGCCTCTCACTCTCTCGGTTCTACTCAACAATGCTAACACACTGTCAAACAAACACACTTTTGCTCCCACCATTCCTAAACAAAAGCCAGCCCACACGCATAAAAGGGCTGCAACTGGTAGCAGTCTTCTCTTCCTCTGTACTGGTTCATTTGTCTGTCAGGGAAACTTTCTGGCCATCACTGGCATGCATTTTGATTCCAAGCCTAGCATCAGTTCTGATGGAGTGATGGAGCTTATGTTTGATAGCAGCAACACAAATTTGGACAGAGGCAACAAAAAATTGTATAGTGCAAAAAAAAAATTGTGTTAACTGTCAACAGTTCAGTAACATGATCGGGTATTAAAATGCATCTTAGAGAGGCAGGGTTTCTCAGATGTAAAGATGGGCAGAGGATCATCAATCTGCAAACAGCTGTGCCTACTGTGAATAATAATCTTCAATATAAATCTGTACAAACTTATAATATCTCATCATCTACAGCATATAATATCATCAAAAGATTCCAGGAATCTGAAGAAATCTCTGTGCACAAGGGACAAACCCCCTCAAAATCCATATTTAATGCTCATAATCTTTGGGCCCTCAGGCACCACTGCATTAAAAACAGGGATGATTCTGTTATGGAACATTCCAGAAATCATTGTCTGAACACAATTCACTGTGGCATCCACACTCCAGGTTAAAGCTCTATAATGCAAAGAAGAAACCACATGTGAACATGAACCAGGAACACTGGTGTTTTCTCAGAACCAAAGCTCATTTAAAATCGACCTAGGAAAGCGGAAAAGCTGTTCTCATCAGGAATCTGGGTCTGCCTGTGGTCAGTGGAAATGTTATGCATCTTTTTCCTCATACGCAGCTTCATTTTGTTGCATACATAACAATCATTAATTCCCATTAAAAGCATAGCAATAGGTCAGACATGTCTCCCCTATAATAATGACCATGCAGTTAGTCCCTCTAGCGCCTGGTCTGAAGGATGTTTGGCAAACTACTATCTGTCTTAACAGAAGCCATTAAATTGATTCCCTGAACATGAGTTCTGAAACCTGAGGACAAGCCAATTTGAGGAGATGCAGTCTTGTGACCCCATGCTCATTAAACCACAAGCCATTGTTGTTGTTTGGGGACCCATCCAGAAACTGTCCTTCTTTGAATCTTCACCCTTAGGCAACACTTTTTTTCCCTTCTTGTCCATTCATTAAACCTTTCTCTACGCTGCCCTTTCTAACCCCTCCTACTTTCATCTTCCTCAATCCTAAAAAGGCACAGGAGTTAAATAGACAAGGACCATGTTTTGTCCCAGAGTCTGAGTGTGAGACACAATGGCAGAAAGGAGGACGACGAGAACAGAGAGGAAGACAAAATGCAGAGGATGAGAGGCAGAGGGAGAATCTGCAGTGCTAGGATCAAATGAGTCAATAAAGACCAACAGGAGAAAGAAATGAGAAAAGACAAAACGGTAGTGTGGAGGGAAAGTTGACATCTTGATTTATTAAAACATTGATCAACTTCTGTTTCAGCGTGCTGGGGTGACACATGTCAAATATCATGCCAATAAATCCCATTCAGCTGAATTGGATTGAGGTGAACAGAGGAACACAGAGAGAAATGGGGGAGGAAGGCCGCAGAGAGAGAGTGAAACAAAGAAATGGTAAACTCGGTGTGGTGGAGGATGATAATGATGATTCTGGCTGATTAAAGTCACACAATGAACAGTGAGTTGTTGGACTCGCAACCTATTGTGATCATCGCGTGAGACCGTGTGGTAGAAACACATGTGATGGTGCATTAGGAAAATGCTGACGGTAGAGAGAGGGTCCCATTCCCTCCACAGCATTTAGTGATGCAGATAAGTATACTCAGCTACAAGCAGGTCTCTCCAAGGTGCTCTACAAAGGCTTCATTCCAAGAACTGTCAGTGTTTCTGCCACTGTCCCACAGACATCACCTAAATTAAAAGGTCATTTATGAATTTTTTTTTAATATATGCTCCATGCAACTGACCTTTCAATTCTCTTGATGCTATTTTATCAAATGTCTTGGAACACGATATATCTGAGGTGTTACGTTACAGTTCCTGCCATAATTCACCTTCAGCGTCTGTGGTTAAAGTGACCAAAGGAAGGCTATATAATGATATTCTACTTATTCTCTGTTAATAGTAGTGGCCTATGTGATACATTTAAATCGACCTTTGATAAGGTACTGTGACGTTTGAAGTTTGAGGATTAGACATTGACATATTCACGAAAGAACAAGCACCCATTAAAACTGAGTTACAGAGAGAACCTGTTACTTTGCATTAAAGGTTGTGAGAAAGTGCTTGGCTCGAGAGTTCTTACGTCCATCTCAGGCATTGATTTTAGCAGTCACAGCTGAAAAAACATTCTGTCAGGCCCAGACAGTCTGCGTTACACAACCAAGAAACAGTAATAACGTCAACATATTGCATGCATGTACCTTACATCCTCCTGGTGAAAAAAAATACAGTATTTCATTACTTCAGTGTAATGACTTTGCTGATATTCCATGTATTCCAGTATCTTGCATATCACTTTCCCCCGTCTTTTGCCTCCAGATGCAAAATTTTAATGCAGAGAATTAATGAGTCTCTGTAACACCCCCCACCACCAGCAGCAGCAGAAGCAGCAGCAGCACCACCACCACTACCAATCTTGTTCCGAATCTTCAGCTCCTGTACGCTCTCTTATCTACTGCAAGCACTCCACATCCTAATACACACACAGACACACCTTGTACTCTGTCTTCTGTCATTTTCTGGCATTATTATCATCGGTTCCCTGCATTCTCTCTTCTCTCCTTGTTCCCCATTCCCAATTTATCTTGGTCCTTTTAAAAAAAATAATAAATAAAAAAAATAATCCTTCATTTCCCTTATTTTTTCCTACAGTTCTCTCCCCACCCCCACCTTATATGTCCTCTCCCTTCAGTCTCCACTTCTTTTCCATCCATTACATTTCATCTTAATTCATTCTCTCTGTCACACTAATTGTTTTTGTCATGTTTTGCATTTGACAAGGCAGAATCTGACCTTGAAAACCTGTTTCAAGGTTAAGCTGAGTCTTTGTAATTGAAAAGACCACTATTTTCTGCACATTTAAGCTAATACAAATACTCTAAGGCATACATTTCTGTAGAAATGTTGATAATATCGTGCACATTTCTCATGTGCTGCTAGAAGTGTCAGGACTCTGGTGGTGTCATGCATCGTATGGCACCAGGATGCCAGAAGAAAATCTTTTGGGTCCTGTGGAACACGCAGTCGAGCTTCTGTGAAGTGGGTTTATTACAGTCCATTCAGTAGATTCTAGATAAATCCAGGGTGTAGGCAGTTTGAAGGTTTTATCAATGTTTTGCTGGAATTTTGTTGGATTCCCTGCCTTGTGCTTAAGAGTGGAGACACACACTGTCCTGCTGGAGAAGACCATTGCCATCAGGGGCTCTTGTATAGTCTGCCAAGTTGTACACACCTAAATAATGTCCATGTGAATGTCAGGACCTAAGGCTTCTGCACAAAACAGTGCTTAGACAGTAATTTCCTACTTTATGTTCCTCAATCATCCATTCACAGCCAAACGAGCACTTTTTTCTATGTTTTAGTGCTTTTTGACTTGCACAAGGATATTAAGCATGCAGAACAGCCAGGGATCCAACCAACAGTGGTTTTAATGTTGTAGCTGTTCTGTATACATGCTGTTATAACATTATAGGTGAGCCCACAGGCACACTCTTATTACAAAGAAAACAAAAATGTCACACATATGCACTATATTGTTCTAAATATGTGACCTGATCTTTCTGTAGCTCTTCATTTAAATAAACAAATTCAGACAAGATTTATAAATATGTCTCAACATCTGTGAACAAATCCCTTTCTCAGTTTCACCGGAGGAGAATTAAAGCAAATAAGGATTTAATTTCACAACGTTTTACTAGAATCAATCCATGTTACCAGGGTTCAGTGAGTCATATGCTCACTCACGCTCAATCAGTTTTAACTAAACATTTATTATCGCACAGCTCTACAGTGAAAGCGTTTGTGAGAGAAATTTATAGTGTATGAAAATCATTTGGGTGCACTAGCGCAAATTACTTCGTGCTGACTTGTGGCACTCTTATTAGCAAATCTCAGGGTACAAAACACTCAGCAGCCTTATTTCTTCAAATGAACAGATCTGCTGTTTCTCACATACACACATAAACTTATTTCTCTTATACACACAAACCTATATGCATATACACATATATACTCTTAGATAATTGCACACCACTAACACACACACCTACGCGCACACACACAGACTCATTACACCTAAATTCAAAAGCTCTTGCAGCAGCTGGAGGCAAAGCCAGAGGCCCGGATCAACAGTCCTTGATATGTGTTTGTGTGTGTGCTTATCGCTCTTTATCGTACACTTTCAGGTTCAATAGCTGTTCTCTCAGCAGGCACAGAGGTACTCATTGTCCTGCAGTTCAGGTAGCTGTTGCACTATCTTCAGCATCTTCCACCAGTGAACCAAGTGACTCAACTCACCGATAACTTCAGGGTGAGAGAGTGAATGAATGAGTCACGCAAATCCTGCAAGTACTCTCTCTGTCTGTACTACACAATCCTCCTCCAGGTTTTCACATGCTTTTCCCTTGTTGTTTTCCATTGAGGATGGAGGCATTTATTTTGAGAGTTCGATCTCTAGCATAATTTTTAGTTCTCACGACCCTTTTGTCCTCCAGTCATCACCTTCTGATCTACTCTCCATCAGCTTCTTGACATAGAGGTAGCTTTAACCCATCTACAGTAATTCCATTTTAACGCATTTCCTTTCATAAGCCGAAACCTCATCTCTGTAATAACCACTTCTCCTTCGCTCTCTGCTGCAGCGTTGCTACGCCGTGGCTGATCTCGTCAGTTGTATTTGCAACTCCCCTCTTCCTTCACATCCTTGTGCTCATAAGACTCCTTGCCTTGTTTCAAAGACAATTTTACCTCTTTTTCTTTTTAGCTGGAATTTATGAGAAAGTGCTGGTTTTTTGTTATTTTTTTATTGAGGCATCACAGATTTCAGATGTCTTTTAGCTTGGACATGGCTGCGTTCGAAGGTATTTCAGGCAAATAAATATAAAGAGGAGCCAAGAACACAGTATAATGAGGCAAACACAGAGAAAAAGAGAGAAAAGGACAAAAGAAAAACATAAGAGTCTGCGTGGGTGACCGTACCTTCTGTGTGTATTGCAGACACGTAGCTCCAGTTGTATCTCTTGACAATGTCCACCATAGCTCTTGCCTGCTGGGCATCTGAAGGCACCACCCGCATAAAGTATTTGTAAAGGCTCTGGAACAACAGAAACAAAAGGAGCGTCAAGCTGTGTTTTGCAGGAGCATGCAGGGCATTCAACTCGGTGAGTAATGAATAACTTCGCATAATTAAAAGTGGCAGTAATAGATTTTCTCTGTAATTGATTCTTATATAATATTTATTTGTATGCAACTGTAGAGCTTCAGTAGCATTCGTCTACAAGGAACAGAGCTCACCTTATCGCTGAGGTCCATACTGGTGGCAGAGTAGGCAATCTGTGGTATGTTGAATAGCTGTAGCAGGTTCTGGACCTGGATGGCCACTGAGCTTGAGCCAGGTCCAATTAAACCCACAATAGGTTTCTTCCCCCGCATTGGAGTGGCAGAGGGGTCTGAGCACTTTAGCGTCCCTCCTCCGCCTCCCCAAGAAGTTCCGCCGCCCCACTCCTCGGCCTCATCAGAGGAGACCAGCGAGTCGCGTATGAACTCGATGCTCTGCTCCAGAGCCACAGCCGAGTGCCAGCAGGAGTCCCTGATCTCACAGCCCAGGCTGATGTTGGGAAGGATGTGCGGGTCAGCATTAATGCGGTCCAGTGTATGCATCATGGCCTCCACCCTTTGGATGCCATACTGCTCTCGCACCGCACCACATTTGCGTTCATGCACCTGATTAGACAACACAAAGGAGATAGGAATCAAGCCAAAGTGAAGTGACATTTAGATTATTATAAATGGTTATTTTTACCCATATGAATGCAAGAGACCGTGCTTTTTAATACACAGGTGCTTCACTGTTGGAATAATATTGGTTTTGTATTCACATAGCTGCCTTGTTCTGATTTTTCCTGTTTGCAATTATCCTTAATGAGATGGAAAAAGCTTAAATGTCAGTGGGTGACTTCTGGTTCCCGGGGCAGCTAATGGAACTTAAATGTTGACGGACTCACAGAGAGCTACCCATTCTACAAATTGAAAGCATTCTTTGGGTCTCAGAACCAGAGCAACATTATAACCTTTGGTACAGGAGATTGGACAAAATGTATAAATTTTCTGTCGCTGTGTTAAAAGTATTAATTTCTATATCATTTCATGGTGTTTGTCTGAAATCCAGCAATAATTACACAAGGTCAGTTGAAGTAAAATGTAATCAATTTAGCTACACATGATTCATTTATACCAGTATTAACCACACAACCACTTCAGTTTACCTTATCAGCAGTAGGCTGGTGATGTACAGAGAACAATGCTCCGATGATTATGTCACCAGGCATGTGTGCTACAACTCGCCGTTCATTGGTCTGAGCAGAGTCGGCTTGATTGGGACCCAGCCAAATGGACAGAACTAGCAGCAGCCAAAACATCATCTTGGTCCTTTTGGGTTACTAAGAAGAAGCAGACCTCAACTTTGTATTGTGGATCCGTCACAGGGAACTACTTTTCCGAGAAACTGTTTTCCTGGCCATGGCATGAGCTTATGGCACAGAGGAGTTTTCGAAAACTGAAGACCTCAGAACGATCCTTTCTTTTGACTCGTTTTTGCTCCGTCTGGATTTCAAGGTGGGACCATCACTGCAATGGCTGGTATAGGTGCAGCGGTGCAACCTGGGAAATGTAAAAGAAAATTCGGGTTAAATCCCACTGACTGTAATAACTCCTGGATCGTCAAATTAAAAGGCAGAGGAATCGGTGATAGACAGACATGTTTATGTAAAGCTATGGTCATAACATTTAGCTAGAAATTTAGCATCACGTATAATAACCTGGGTCTTTAATATGTATTCATAAAACTTGTGGTTGAATAAAAGTACAACAGCGGTGACAAAAATGGTCCAACCTGGTACAAATGGATAGTTTTGCAAAGTGAGAAAACTGCACAGAAGAAGGACAGAAATAGCAGCTTTTCACTGTACCAGGAAGCACTGTGTTAAAGTGAAGAATGCTTCACATCATGAGAGTGGTTGCCCGAACTGTTTATTTCACCCTAGAGATCTGAATCATTGTCGGTTTTACAGCCTTCTTACTGGCAAACACATTACACATACATTACTCCACACTTGCCATACTTCACTAAATAACAACGGTTAGGCCAAGGAGCTTTGCCGACACATTTCTTTGCTTTACGACAGCACCATTTATTTGTAACATATACGATTGAATTTATTAAAAGGAATAAGCCATCCAAAGCTACCTACAGCCATATCAAAAAGTAATTCCCCTCTAAACCTAAAAACTAAGGCAGGCATGAACAGCGTGTTTAAGGTTATGCCAAACCATCACAAGCTGATCTAAGTCTGGACTCAAAAATCTTTGTTATGTCTGGGGGGGGGGGGCGTTACCCATTGAAGGGTGGACTTGGTCGTATATTTTAGATCCATGTTCTGCTACATAACCCAGACATTCTTCTTCAGGGTTTTCTGGTAGAGAGCATAATTATGGCTTGTTGTCTGGATCTTGAAGCAGCAAAGCAGGCCCAGACCATCACACTACCCCCACCGTCTTTGACAGCTGGTATGGTATTCTTTTATTAAATGATTTTAGTTTTATCCAGATATAACAGGACTTAAACCTTCAGAAAAGTTCCGTTTTTGTCTCGTCTGTCCACAGAATATTTTCACAAAGGTGTTGGAGATCTTCAAGATGTTATTTGATAAATGTGAGTCGAGCCTTTGTGCTCTTCTTGGTCAGCAATGGTTTTCTCCTTGGAACTCTTCCATGGATGCCATTTTATCCAATGTCTTTCTTATTATTAAACCATAAGTCTGACCTTAACCTAAGCAAGTGAGGCCTGTAGTTCTTTAGATGTTGTTCTGGGTTCTTTTGTGACCTCCTGCATGAGTTATGGGAGTAATGTTGGTCATCCAGGCACTCCTGGGAAGGCTCGCCACTATTCCAAGTTTCTTCCAATTTTGGATAACAGCTCCCTCTATGGTTATGTTAAGTTAGTATTCAGCCTTAGAAATGGCTTTGTAACCCTTTCCAGACCAACAGATGCCTGGAAAAGCCTTGGTGTGGCTTGTGAATTTAAACTTTTCAAGGTATGTAATTACGATTTAACATAGGGAGACAATTACTTTATTTTTTACACAGAGCCAGGTGAATCATGATTTACTGTATTTTGTATTTACTCTGGTTATCTTTGTCTAATAAAAAATTAGGTTGATGATCTGAAATATATAAGTGAGATAAGCAAAAACGTGAGAAATCAGGAAGGGGTCAAATTTTCACAGCACTGAACATGCAAGTACTGGCTCGGCGCCCTAGAGCTCAGATTGAATAGTGCATTTTTTGAATCATATTAAGTGATGTTCTGCTTTTTTTCAGCTACTGTTTGGAAAGTCCAGAAAACAGGACATTAGCACCTAAGTTTGTATTTTCTACCTCACTTTTTGTCAGTCTAATCATTTAGTCGCTAATATAAATGCAAATTGTGCAAATAAAATCAAAATATTGATCATTGCATTTGCCAGCAGCTGTGTCACACCTCACAGCTGCTGTGAGGTGTTTTACACAGTGCACAACAACCACAATGCCAACAAGTGTACATAAACCCATTAGAGGTCCCTTTTTTCTCTTTAATTCCTTTTTATGTTTTTGGTCCTTGAAGATTAGCAGCACTGTTTGAAACCAATGATGAGTACCAAGTAAAACCATTAACATGGCATACCACAAGTCAATCCTCAAGTGTCTGCCCCCCGACTCTCTCCAAATCAAATTTGAGGGCATGTTATAGCTAATTCTCTTGCTGCTTTAATGGTATTACTCTAATTGTGAATTTTGGGTGTTCTCTCTAAACTAAGCCCCCGTTGTGTTTTTATCATTACAATTTAAATTGTTTTCGAACTGTACCAAGACTGCTATACATCCTTCTGGCAAAAAAGCAGTGCTTTCAGGGGTATTTTGTATTCTTTTTGTTCTGGCAAAGAACGCTGAGCACTCCATGTGTCTTGTTATTATAAATTATAGAAAGGATTCCTTTAATGAAGTGCAGAGTTTAGGCAACAGTAAAGAATTCCTATTTGCAAGACGTGGGCAAGTCAGCTACTAAGTGGATGATTCAAAACAGCATATGGGACATATCTAGCTAAGCGATGTACACCAAGCGCCCTGTGTTTAACAGTCAGCCAAGTGCGGGGGCATCAGTTTCATCCTTTGGGTAAACTTTCAAGTAGCCATCCCTCTGCATTAATGGGTAAGACTTGTAATTTGCCTAACCCCGAAGCTGCACAAATACTTTCCTTCACTGCAACTGAGAAATTTAATTGACCGTAAACAGCAGGGGAGCTGGGACAGTTCAGCAGAGGATGGCATCCACTGCTTATGCAAAACAGGATCAAGGTCGTGGCAGGGATGTCGGGCGGTTAGCAGACTGCTGTTTGGGGGAAGAGAGAGAAAACGAGCGAACAAAAAAGGCAGATGGAGGACCACTGCAAGGAGAGGAAATGAGGAGGAAGAAACACAGTGTATGCTGAAGAAGGTAGAGGAAGACAGAGACAGAGTAGGGGATAGAAGAAGAAGGCATGAACGATTAAAAAAAGAGGCACCAGGGGACAGAGTCTCTCTGTACGTAATTAACGTGACAGTGTCAGGATGGCAACAGGGCTAACTGCTGCTCCAGTAATGAACAAATCAAACAAAACTCTGCTCTGTCTCACATGCACTCCCTCTCCATCAGTGACGCAACTCTGTCTCTTTCTTGGCCTCCTCTTTTGTCTTTCTACTGACACGTTAATACAAAGATGAAGATGAAGAATCCTCATAGAAGAATCTCTCCCTAGAATTTCACTGCACAGCAGACACACATTACCCCCACACCAAAACCGCTTCACCACGTTCATTTCATCATTTCTCTCCCTCCCTTGAACGATCCACTGCTTCTGCATTGCACACTCAGTCAGACAGATACACTGTGTCTGTCTGTCCCTCCCCCCGTATCATTCTCTTGTTGGCCGAACTGAAAAGAAAGTCAAATCCTTATTCCCTAAACAAACATCTTGCTCACGCCATTAGGCATTTATATCTCTAGCTCTATCCAAACTATACACACGGGGATTATAAAACCATCCAAATCAACTTTTACACAGACAGAAACACACAACACAGGCAGTAACAAACACTCTCCCTCCCCCTCCCCGCCTAGCATACTGCTTTATGTGTTGAGAAAGCATTTAATTTACTGCGTATTAAACAGGGGCGTTAAGAATTACACTAAATTTAGACGCATGGCTTGTAGACAAATGCATTTATCCTCTTTATCTTGTCCTGTATGACGCACAGACGTTTGTGTTTGCATTTAATGATGGGGTGAGGGGGCGATGTCTGGAGTTTTCAGAACAGATTATAGTTGTGCTTTCCATCATCTGAGCAGTTTGCGTTTGACTGTAAAAGCTCTCCGCTGACTGCACATTCTGACAGGTTAAATGAGGGGAGAAGAAGAAAGCATCCTAAGACAGATGTACATCAGTAAGCTCACCGCCATTATTAACAACACACGATCCCACAGAGAGAGACACATATCATGTCAAATGAAGTGTGCCAAATACAAATGGATGTGCGTTTACCCACATAGCCTATTTCTCCAGCGCGCTCATTTAACGGCACACAAGTTTTGACATGTGTCATGTGACATGTGTCAAGATAAATGGATATCTACACAAAAGATGTTTTGTTGCCTTTTCTCTGAGTACATTGGTGGTCAAAGAAAACTAATATTTGACAGGTTCTCTCAAAAAATCCCCCTGTAAAACATTTTGAGGGGAATATTTTTGGGGTGTTTGCAGCCTTTATAAAAAGGTTTGAGTAAACATGACATTTAAGTCTGAAATGTTATCAGAAGTCTTTGATTTGAATCATTTTGTATGAAAAACAAAATGTTCACCAGACGTAATCCTGACATTAATAAAGAATTACTTCAATGCTCGCAAGGTGTTTTTAGACAACCGAGAGAAACAGGAGCTGCAATACTATACTGCAACATACCACATAAAATAATAACATGAAACATAAACTGTCAACAGGAACGGACGGGCAAAATGATCTGGCATAATGGTGTTTTTTTCAAATTACTTGCTGGTATCTGAAATGGGTCATATTGCTTTTCTGTGTTGTGTGCACATTCACTTATGCAGGGAAGGCTTTTGCTGATTGGGCTTGGAACAATGGTTCTCTCCATGTGCCTCCTATTCCCAGCTAAAGAGATGCTCGTTATTGTTGCTGTTGCTTTTTTTTTAGTTTTTTCTGCACAAACCCTTTGACACAATGTGCATCTGCAGGTTTTAAGAAGACTAAAGATTTATTTTTGTAATTGCTGCCTTGTCTCTAGAATCATCTCAGTGCCACAGATGAGTGATGAAGAAAAGCGCCAAGGCTTGGAGACACAAACACACCCACTAAGTAAAAGAACCACTAAACAGCATTAAACCTCTATAACTCCAGTGCACCACAGTGACATAGCTTATATGGGCATTTTATAGCTAATAGGTATAGTGCAGGCCTGCCTTTGAGGACGAATGACCAAAAAGCTCCCGGTATAAATGGGATACAAATATCACACATGCATCGTCACGCCAACAAGGCTTAGTCAGTAAAGACTTAAACCGCTGCAGCCACACGAGACAAGGCGCCTGCACAACTCCCCCAAAACAAGATGTGACCTTACAGCACTTATCTGGGACTCGCAGTCTCCATTAGTAGTAAGACTATCGGCAGTTTTCAGCCAGGTGCATTTATTTATTTATTTATTTATTTGTGTCCTTTTTAATCCTTTGTGGTTTCGTTGGTCTTCCTGTACCATCAATTTAAAGTAATTTATTGAATGATGTGACGCTTTGCAAGTGCTTAATCGCTGACAGGCACGTACAGCGTCTGCTCAAACTGAGTCTCTCCAAGGAGAAATCAAATCCACAGACAACAACATCGACTGGCGCAGCGCTGCATCCGTTAACCGCAAGAAGAGGGGGAAAAAGGGGGGGGGGGGAGAGTCCATCATCTGCACAGATCCGAAAACGAGATCGAAAGGTGCGAAACATGAAAGAGACACGGTCTGAAATGAGCACAGCTACAACACTCGCCGGTGAAAACCGCCTCTCTGGCCGTCCTCTGTCTCAGTGGCATGCTTGTTTCTCCCATACATCAGCGCAATTGGCTGCTTTCTTTAACTAGGTTACAGCGAACCCGTGTAATTCAAGGATAAGTAAGCCACGTGTAATTGCAAGTCCATTCAGGAATACTGCAAGAACAGTGGGTTATAACAAAGTGCGACAATATGAGTCTGAGCAGAATACAGGCTATGTGCATGCAAAAACTGGATCTCAAGCCTTACCTATAGGAGCCTACGTGCCCCTCCAACAGCACTGGCACGGTCCCGTTTGATAACCGGTGTGCAAGTTCCTACCGTGGAGCAAAGACGCGGCTAATAATGTGGAGTCCAATGTCAAGCTGCCTTTGGTCGCTGTGCAGCTTCCGAGCTTCCTCCGTTTTCCAGTCACGCACACCTGAGCCTCTCTCCAAACACCTCTTCTTCATCCCGCCCCCTTTTCCTCCCTCTTCTCAGCCTCTCTCCCCCGTATCTCATCCTCCGCAGACCCCACTTTCTTTGCCCCCTCCTGCTCTCCATCTTTGCAAATGTAGCCACCATTTTTCTGCAGTTTTCCCTATATCCAATTGCACTTAAACACCCACTTCCCCATTTCCCTCCACTTTTCTCCCCCCCCCATCCCTTTGCTGTTTATGATTGAGACAGCGTGCCCATGGGTCATTCACTTTCTTTTTCTCATGTTTTTTTCTTCACTTCATCCATCTTACCACATCATCCTGCCCTCTCCTCCCATTGACCTGATGTGGAGAGAATGAAGACAAATCGCAAAAGTCTTGCTGTGAATAATAGACATACTGTACAGCTGTACTGTCGACGGTAGAGTAATCCTTCGAGTGTCGGGGTTTATCTGCAGAGATTTATAGTTTTATTTCATTCTCATGTAAGACAATACCCTACAACTGTTAGGCTAATCCATTTACATCACAGGGTAGTATTTTTTGAATGCCTTTAGCTTTATGGAGTCCACCAGTGGCCAAAGTGTGTGTGTGTGTGTGTGTGTGTGTGTGTGTGTGTGTGTGTGTGTGTGTGTGTGTGTGTGTGTGTGTGTGTGGTGCACACAACATTTTCACAACCTGAAATGTTATGTTATGGTTGTAAGACTGTCGCTAAGACTGTCTCTGATCACTATTTTCTTGTTGTTGCTTTAACATAGTGGATCTGGCATGTGCCCAGCTTTGATGCAGAGTGGTCCTGGTCCATGCTATTCCAGCTGGAATGGGAACAAATCAAGCCCTGGATGATTGAAAATATGAACGGTTTGTACTGTACCTGACGGGCGTAGCACACTTTGGTAACGTGGGAAATTTCCTAGATTAACAAGCAAAGCTCTGTTAAAACACAAGCAATGCCCCTGTGTAACCATAGCATGGCATGAACGCTATATTCCACCAAAAACAAGCCTCCTCTGAGCTGGAATGAAACAGAATTGGTTATGTTGCAGCAGTCTCCCCAAGCAGGATAATATGCTTGGAGAAACTGCAAAAACCGCTAGGGAAAAATCAGGAACAGGACAATGAAAACTCCCCAGATCTGTCCATGATCTTTGGGATACACTGGAACAAGCCCAAATCATGGACGCCCAAAATATCTGAACTAATTTTGCTAATGACAGTTTTGTTCAGGTATGTTTCATTTTAACATCCATCCATTGGGCATTCTCCTGCTCCATACATTGTGTTGTTTTGATTCATTTTTAAAGCATTCAGTAAACTCTATTGGACACTCCCAAAGACATTCTTTCTGTGTTCTCTTATCTATTGGTTTAGAAGCGCTAAGTAATATTATGAATAATAAGCAAAATTACCCAACAAAGTATTGTTTGAGCACCTTTGAGGTCCTCAGAGTTCAGTTTTAAAGTTGAAATGTCCAAAGACAGACACTGATTATTTCTGTCGTGAGCATTCAACATTCTTCTCACTATTCCAGAATTAAACCAGAATAAATCAATCAAATGTCTCTTGTTACTACAGCAGCGTTCAGTGAGCTCAGTATGAAAGTATAAAACAGTGCATTAAAAATTTTGTTTTATTTCTTCTGTGGCAACTGATTGATTCCAGCTTCTTCCTTCCCTAACACACACACAAGCCACCAACAACCTTTACAGGTGACAGTGGATGTTCAGTCCAGCCTCACCTTCAAAATAAGCAGTTACAAAATGCCTAAAGTTACTGAGATACTGTAACACTCTAGAGAGGAAAACTCAAAAAACTCAGGTTTGAGTGTAATTCAGCAGATCAAAGAAGAGTTGACCCCCCCCCCCACCACACACACACACTCACACTCACACACACACACACACACACACACACACACACACACACACACACACTTTTTTCTTTAAAACTTAAACTACACTGTCCAACTTTGCTCTCACCAAAGCGCGCATCCCACAATGGAGAGGACGTGACCGAGTGAAATCCACGAGTACAACACTGATCAGTGCGATGATGGAGCTTACTGATTTTGTGAGCCCACTGTCTAACTTCCTATGTCGCATGTAGCCTACGTGTTTTCTCCGTGTGTCGCTATTTTCGTTCTTAATTCCTTCACTCCCACGCATCTCTAATTGCCCAGCTACAACCAAAAAGTGGATCCGGATACTGTAGAGTAAAAGTAGGCAACACAAAATCTTTGCCCCGTGAGCTGCACTGCCTCATAATGTAGGAAGAAGATGATGGGCTAGACTATGAGAGTCTGTCTCCTCTCTGATCAAACAGACTTCAGAGGTGAAACTGTGGGCTGAGACGACGGCACTATGGATGAGATCGATAGCATTTGAAGTTTCATAGCGGTCAGATGAGTAAAGAGCCATTAACCTACTGCTTTGGCTGGCGTCCACCTAAAAGACCCACGGAGATCAAATCATTAAAGATTTAAAAATTAGAAATAAATCAATGCAAATGTAATAGAAACATCGCGCTTTCCTGCAAATGTCTCTGGGCACAGGCTTTAACACAGATACTGCCATTAACTAATTTTAGCTTTAGCTTAGAAAGAAAACCTAGTTTTGCATTTGTAATGGCATCTTTGAATTTAAATTAAGTTTGCGAGTCCTTTTAAATATCTCGATTCAATAAATTATAGAAAATAAAACCCAATTTTATGATTTCATCAACATATGCTTTTTTATATACAATAACAATAAAAAAAAATTCATCTGCTATGTGGCTCTTTCTTTCTCACATAAAAGACAGGTTTGCTGTTCTTTTCGTGTTGGCTTTCCTCTCATAAATGGGCCTATTGGGTGTAAAAGCCGGTCGTTTGAGGAAGTGTCTCCTCGCACATTGAGACGCAAAAGTCGTGTGGTTTAGGGAGGAAAAACGAGAATTCATCAGGTAATCCACGCCGTCCTCGTGCCATTATGCCTGACTCTGTCCACGAAAGGAGAAGAAGAGAAGTTGTAGCCTACCTTTGCTTGCGGGACAGGTGTATGTTCCCAGAGAAACACAGCATCCCTCACGAGTCCGTCAGGGCACTGTGCTCGCGGTGGTTAATCTACTTTTTCACTATGGCAACAAATGAACCCCCTCTCCTCTCTCTCTCTCTCTAGCGCGCCACGCGCTCCAATGAGGAGGCTCCGTTGAGGTCATCCGCCCTCTCTTTCTCTGTCTGTCTGTCTCTCCCGCTTTCTCTATCACACCTACCTCCAAGATACCATCTGGAGATAGATGTTGATAGAGAGAAGCAGGGATCGAGGGGAGAGGCAGGGAGATGGCAGTGTGGGATAGAAGTGGGTTTTAGAGCTTGGCTAGACAAGCATTGGATTAGTTTGCCAGCCAAATGCATTTGGGATTAGTAGACCATTAAAAGCACATAGACATACACGCAAGCATGCACACACACATGCAGGCTGGACAGGCTTTAGATGTTGCAGTGATAGCCTTACTGACTTTTATCTCTCACTTCCTCCTCACCCTTCTAAGCTTGCTTTGACATGAGCACATGGGCTGACAGGAAAACATAAGAGTTCACATGCACGCATGAACAGACTCTCACATTATCTATGTGTGTTTGTAGTCTTCCAAGGGTCAGAAAATGGGTAAAACTCCCCATAAGTGACAACTGCCTCAAGACTCGAATGCAAACTTCCATTGACACTAGTGAATATATCGTTTATTCAAAGCTTCTACAAGGCTGTGCAGCACTGTAGATATGTTTAAAAACTGCATGGTGTCTTTATCTACTACAATGTTTCTATTTTCAAGTTGGTAAAATGTGTGCTTAATCTAATGAATCAAGTGAAGTAGGCTACCTTTAAAAGTGGAGGTACCTGTGAGCAATGCAACAGATGCAGCATGGCTTACAAATGATAAGAAATTGCCTGAATATGTGAGAAACAAGTCTGTGAGACTTCACAGTTGCAGCAGTAGCAGGTACAGGAAGAGCAGCGCAGCAGATGTGGTGTTTGCCCTCTCTTATAAAAATGACACAAAACACAATTTTCTGTGCAAGCTTGTATTAAAAACAGATGAGTAAGTGCAGGCTTCTGAATGGGGAAAAGGACTCAGCATGAATTCAACCTTTATGGCTAATGTTCAAGAACAAACCACAAAGGTAGGAGTGTTCTGATGTGAGGCCATATTTGGCATAGACAGATGGCATTTATAAGTGACACGGACCAAAACCCCAAATGTGTAAATAATGTTTATAGATGCAGGTGCAGACCAGAATGATGATGGGCAGCTGAGGACCAGTGAACTGGGTGAGAGGTTGCAGTTTGGGGAAGGTTGTGCTGCACCTAGTTAAACGGTTTCTGGCAGAATATCTATGCATGTCCAAGAAAATCAAACCTGTCACTGAAAATAAAAATGGATGATGTCGCATTTCTTTCTTCTTTTTTTTTAGTCTTGTATTGGGTTCTTAAATGTGGATGCCAGGCTGTAATTCAATTAGCCAAGCAGGTGTCTATTAGGTTTCGCTGTATACAATTACCACTTAGTAAACTTCTTTAATGATAACAATTTGCAATTGAGGTTCAACATTTGCTCCTTTTTCAATCATACCAGATGTGTCATACATTTTCCAGTTACTAATGACTGCATTGATACCAGTCTGATAAACACCACTTGGTTACCAATCACTGAATACAGCATTAAGAAATTGACTAAGTGCAAAAGGACTATGGGAGACAGATTGCAATAACTGTATGCACAGCTCCAGTTGTGAAAACATTGGGATGCTGTGTAAAAATGTACATAAAAACAGAATAGAATGGTTTGCAAATATCATAAACCCTTATTTTATCAACAACAGGCAAATTTATAAACTGAGAAAATGTATAATTTAAGGAAAAATATGAGCTCATTTTGAAATTGATGGAAGCAAGATTAGGGTTTTGGGGCAACAAAAGAAACAGTTGGGGAAATGTTTTGCAACTAGTTAGGTTAATTAGCAACAGGTCAGTAACATGACTGTGTATAGAGAGAGCATCTTAGAGAGTTTCTCAGAAGTAAAAAAAGGACAACAGTTCACCAATCTCTAAAAAAAAAAAAACCTCAAAAAATGATTGCAAATTGTGGAACCATTTCAGAATGCAAATACTTTATTCGTCAAATCATCGACAATACGTAATATTTTAAATAATTTCAGAGAATTTGGAGAAATCTCTGTGCATAATGGGACAAAAACAAAAATATCCAATGCCTCAGGTAGCACTCAATTAAAATCAAGCACACTCAAAAAAATGTCCCAAGATACAAGATATTGGATTCAAAATTTCCACTTTTGATGTAAAATGTTACATTTAATGAACTCTGGGCACACACATACCAGATGTGTCGATATTCTGATTTCATAAGGTCAATGTTAGGGTCACCTCAATAGGTTAACAGACCTGTTCAAGATAAATGAACATTGGATCTCACGCTTAATTGTATGGATGGCAGATCTCAGATGCCATTTCCATAGCAACCCTTCACTTTTATAGTAAAACATAAAATCAACAAGCATCTAATTGATCAGTTCAGCTTGTCTCATTTGATGCCAACTAATCTTTCCTTCACACATGCACGCACACATGGAGAGAGATTAAAGTCGTTAATCACTCGCAGAGACACTGAAAACCTGTTGATGCAAGATTGGATCAATAAGTGAATTAATATTGATGAAGCTGAGACAAATCAATGACATGTGTTAGGATGAACTGTGTCAAATGATGGAGAACTGGACTGAATGATATGATGGAGAAAAATCATCCACTGAATCATCTGGAGCATTTTTCTGACCCTGATACTGTTCAACAGAGTTTGTCGTTGCACAGAGCGGACAGAAAATATAACTGGAGTGACAAATGAATCATCCCAAGAAAAATTCACCCTGCAAAACACACCTGCACTCTGTATGTGCGTTTGTGTAATCAGTGTGTAATACTGTGCATCAGACACATATAACATCTATAGGGTAAAAGTCTTTTTAACGACACTCCTCCGCAAATCACAAGCACAACAGACTCACAGTCACAGTCGGAAAATCAATTATTCAATGGCATTTCAAAATAACAGTGGATACCCGTGGTTGCCATAGACACATAGCTGATTTACAGGGTTGTCACTTCTCTGTGATATTCCCACTCTAAGTAGGACAAATAGAGGGGAAAAAAACCTACAAATTGCACAATGCCAAAAGAGAAATGAGGACGTCAGTTATGAAACGTGTAATGTGGCTGCTGTTTCATTGAACAAGTGGAGAGTGGGTTTTAATATGACTTAAGTAGACTGCAGATTTGTCATCAAGCACATATAGCACAAAAGACAGATCTGTCCACGTACTTTACACATCGTGGAGAAGTTCTGCAAAAAAGTTGAAACAAGTGAAAAACCAGTAAGAAAGAAAAAGTCTCACATCATTGGCAGATCTATTTCGAAAAAACTCACTGCAGTCACTGTGGGTTTGGCAATGCAATAAATCAAAATGGTGTGTATATTTTTTATAATATATCCAGGGAAATGTAAATTTAAATTTTAAAGGATTTCAGGGAGGTTGCTCTCAATTCTGCAGGCAGGCTGTTCCAGATACTGGGTGCGTACATTCTGAAAAGCAGCCTCAGTGTAGATGTAAACTGTCAGCACAGGTTGACAAGCTGTCACGGTGTCTCTGACTACCAGGATGCTGTGATAACAGGGATGGCACAGAGATTGGGGAGACTGCAGCTCTGCGTTAGCTTTGCCCTGCAGAAATAAAATAATAAAACTTTGTAAAATCGCAAGGAAAGTATATCATATTTTAAAAAGGAAGACAAGCAAAAGGGGGGGGGGGGGGGGTCTCCACAACTTGAGGTTTCATTTATAGAAACTGTTTCTGGATAAAGATTAGAAGCTTGAGCTCATAGTTTATGAAAATAATAGCTTTTGAGTATCTCTTCTGCACAAGCATGCACACACACACAGATGAGATGCGACAGGTGCAGTTAGGTCTGTTTTCAAGACTGAGCTGAAATTCTTCTTGTGATTTTCTTTTCTTCTTTTTACAGATTTTCAAGTACACATTAGATGTCATTAAAAGAAAAACAAAGACAACTTCCTCGTTGATCTGTGGAGGTCAGTTTTGTACAGGTTGGCTTTTAAAAGCCTGCGGGAGTTTTGTGAGATGTCAAACGTAAAACAACCGTAAGAATCCCCTCCAGCTAGACAAATCAGCCGTCATCTACCTCCTCTGTTATCTTATTACGCATGATGAGGAGGACTCTGACTGCGTGCAGTAATCGTGCTGTGACAGGCAACTTCCCTGGTGGTCTATCTTCAAATGGCTCATGCTGCCCTCTTGTGTCTGGATGAAACAGGAAAAAAAAGTTTTATGGGAATGTCTCAATCCGAAGCCATTACTCGACGTCACGTTGTTTCCGAGTTATTCAGGAGTTACTGAAGCCTACTGTTGTAATTTCAGGTTAAATTCTTGGTAAGTTCAAATAAAAGTACTTTTTCAAACACTCTGTGTGTGCCCTTGTCTCTCTCAGAGGAGCCCTGCGGGCAGGTTTATCGTGTGATGGTCATTCCTGTGCGCTCCACTGCGCTCCTGCGGCGAGATAAGCTGCATCCCGTGCCTGGCTACGGTAGCATGTGACCGGCTTGTGATCCTAAAGCTTGCGCAGATGACTTTCTGCCCTGAGTACTGTACCAGTCTGAACGGAACTTGTGGAGAAAAAATCTCTCTCTTTCTCCTCCTGGAAGTTTCCACGTACAGCTGATCGTCACGATGTACCATGTGGTGTGTACCATGAGGCTATACTGACAAAGACCCATTATTACATTTCACTTCTTATGCAATTAGCCTTTAAGTGTATTTTATCAGCTATAAACGTCTTCTACATACTATTAATACACTGTCAATATATTAACAATTAATACACTGTATTTATTACACAAAGCATCTTAATCATTTGGTGGAAAGTATGACTACAACTTCATATCTATTCACTCTTCCATTTCATTTGCAATTAAAGACTTGAAAGGCAAAGCAACCGTAACAATTTTACTGTACTTTTTCCTCTTTTGGACTAAAAGGTTGAGTTTTCAACATGATTGCTGTCAAACAGCAGCAGCATTAAAGGTTTCATTCATGATTCCATGTGGATGAACTAGTGTTTTCAGTGTCAGTAACAACCTGTATATTTGTGCAACAGAAAAACAATTCACCCCTTTCACTCTTATTGATGGGGCATGAAATTAGGTCAAAATGAAATATCACACAAGACTCTTATGCAGCCTGCATGCATCTGAACTAAAATTCCAGTCACAGAGGTAATCTTTATATATCAGAAAAAAATATTATTTGTATGTTTATTACAAAAATGGCCTTGTTTCCTAAAAATAAAGGGTAGAATTAGTCTATTTCCTCAGCATTAGTGTTGGCTTTAATGTAGGTTGAAATATCAACATAGTCCTTAATGTTACTGCTCTACATGCCACATCAGTGTGTGGAAGTATTTAACCACCACAAAGTACACTTATGATTATGTTTAATCCTATCACCTTTAACTCATAATGGTCTGTAAAGGACATAATCCCCCCCCCCTCCCCATTCTTCATTATGAGTTAAAAGAGTTTAAAACACCTTCTGTGACAGAGACCGTTATATTATTTTGTCAAATTATAGTGAAGCTCAATCGAACCTTTTCTAAAAGAGGTTTGATGTGTCATGATATAACATGGCAGATTGAATAAAATGTCATGTTTAATATATTAAACTTTAATAGTACCAATTTTATTAGAGCACATATTCTGAGATATTCTGAGACAGTACTAAACATAATTGCTGAAGGTAGCAGATTACACTTTTGCTTTCTTTAACATCATAAAAAGACCAAGTAGAAGCACAAACTCATCCCATCCTAACACACTGTCTTAATATTTAAATTCAAGCCTGGCTTTCATTAATACACTGTCCGGTATCGCTCTCCCACCTCCTCAACTTCTGCTCCTTTCTGTCACACGTTTCTGTAGCACATCGGATCATGCATAAATTCCCGGAGAGGCTTTGCCCAAGGGAGGGGAGTGCTGTACACACACACACACACACACACACACACACACACACACACACACACACACACACACACACAACAGACATTTCTGCCCGAGGTGAAGTGGAGTAGAGGTCAGCTGGTCTCTAGACAAAGTGAAATAAGAATATTATCCTGAGCATGTGATGCTGCGTGAGATCACACACTTTTTAGAGGACAGCCCCCTAAAACAGCTCAATGAGTAGGCAGAGAACAAGGGGCTGTTGGCTGGGTGTATGAGTGTAAGGGTTGAGGGAGGTTTGGTAGCTAGTTAGATGGCAGGTTAGAGGAGTAGATATTACAAAACAGAAAAAAGGGGGGGAAACAGCAAAAGTTGGAAATGTGTGAGCCTGTATTTCTCTGCTTAACTGGAAGTAACTTTTTGTAAGTGAATTTATTTGCTGGTGCTGCTTTTTGCTCTCCCTAACCTTCTGTGAGGACAAGAGGTTCTCACACTTTTAACAAGAATTTATATTCCCCCTGAGTGGAGTGCCTTTGACTTTTCACCATGAGAAGACTGTGTATGTCTTTAGTTTTCTTACAGCTGATTGGGGCTTGTGTAAGCCAGTTTCCTCGCCCTTGTGCCACTTCAGAAGGACTGCGGACCAAAGAGTGCTGTCCATTGTGGGATGGAGATGGCTCAGCCTGCGGTGCCCTGTCAGGCCGCGGTTTCTGCACAGATGTGGTCATTTCAGACGAGCCACATGGACCCCAGTACCCTCACAGTGGGATCGATGACAGAGAGCGTTGGCCTTTAGCTTTCTTCAACCGGACGTGCCGCTGTGCTGGAAACTATGGAGGTTTTAACTGTGGCGAGTGTAGGTTTGGTTACTGGGGTTCAAACTGTGCTGAGTACAGGGAATCAGTGCGCAGGAACATCCTGACTATGTCGACTGCTGAACAGCAGAAGTTCATCTCCTATCTGAACCTGGGTAAAAACACCATCAATCGTGACTATGTCATTGCCACTGGCACAAGGGCACAGATGGGAGAAAATGGTGAGAACCCCATGTTCTCTGAGATCAACACCTATGACCTTTTTGTGTGGATGCACTACTATGTGTCCCGAGATGCCCTCCTGGGAGGACCAGGGAATGTATGGCAAGATATCGATTTTGCTCATGAATCTGCAGCATTTCTGCCCTGGCACAGAGTCTTCCTGCTTCACTGGGAGAATGAGATCAGGAAGCTAACAGGAGATTTTAATTTCACCATCCCATACTGGGACTGGAGGAACTCCCAGACCTGTGACGTGTGTACCGATGCCTTGATGGGTGGACGCAACTCCCTTAATCCCAACCTCATCAGCACTGCCTCTGTCTTCTCATCATGGAAGGTAAGAAAAATTGATCCTCATGCCCTGGGTTTCAGTGTGTCTTAGAACGGAAATACCCATATTTGATTATATGTGGTCCTTTAAACAGTTTTTATACATTAACTCACTGAAAGTTCATTTTCTTGTAAAAACAAGCCCACAGGATTAAGTTGGTTCATCCTGTTAATCCAACTATTTGAGAGATTTTTATTTTAAAGTTGTGATTTTTGAAAGCAGCATTGTTCTGAATACTCAGAGAGTTCCATTAGTTTTCACTAATGCCTATTAATGCCCATTTACTATTTGTAAGAAAGCCATATTAAAGCCTTATGGAGGCCCGCAGGTTTGTGAGCTATAACAGCCCAAGAAACATGTATGTTTACGCTTTTGCATTTATACATTTGTATAGGTTATCTGCACCCAGTCAGAGGAGTATAACAGCCGAGAAGCATTATGTAATGCCACGGGGGAGGGTCCATTGTTACGTAATCCCGGCAACCATGATACCAATCGTGTGCAACGACTTCCCAATTCAGATGATGTGGAGTTCGCTGTGGGCCTCCCCGAGTACGAGACAGGACCCATGGACCGATTTGCCAACATGAGCTTTAGAAATGTCCTAGAGGGTAGGAGTGAGAGGCAGACACGCACATACATTTGTGTTAGTCCTTTCTTCTTTCATGTTTAATCACCAAAGTTCAGCTTAATCTTACTAAGCTTGTGAATGAGCACTGGCACATTGGAAACACAAAAGGTAGATACAAACCAGTGTGTGTACAAGGAATTGCAAACTCTAATGCAGACATCGACACTAAAACCTGCTAGTTATTTTATGTATTTATTGTTGGAGTTTAACACATCCTGCACACGTTATATCATTAGATATGCTTCCAGTTTTGTTGTAAATCACAGGCTGCCCCTTAAGCCGAGTCCTGAATTAAATTATATCAAGTGCATTTGAACGAGGTGTGAAAGAGGACATTCTTTCATCAGGACATCAATTCTGTTAAACCTTCAAATGTATTTAATATGAAAATGATTCCCCCGTTGTCTCAGAGAACTTTTGAAATTAATTATAATAAATTACATTTTTTGGTCGCACAGGTGAGCTGTAAGACTTTTAAGTCGTAATATATCTCAGTTCCTTCTCCTTTTTGTTCCACCAAGCTCACGTTTTTCTCTGCACAAACACTTTTCTCATATAAACCTACAAACTGTTTACTACTAAATTCATCCCTGAGTGTTATTTTCCTGTGTAAACATTGTTGCCATTCCTGTATCATGCACCTTCTGCAGGTTTTGCAAGTCCGCAGACGGGTATGGCCGTGTCAGGCCAGAGCACCTTGCACAACGCCTTGCATATGTTCATGAACGGTTCCATGTCATCAGTACAGGGTTCAGCTAATGACCCAATATTCCTGCTACATCATGCTTTCATTGACAGGTATAGTAACACTTATCCGCCCATATTATTGGCAAAAGGTAAACTGCACACACTGGGTGTAATGCAGTGAGAAAGATAAAAGTAGCGAGACCTAGAGAAGATGTAAGGATGAAAAGTTGCATATCATGTAGAATCATGATATATATTCAATTTTTTCATGTAGGTTTTTGTTTCTGTCCCTTTTCTCTTCTTATTCACTTCTTCTCTTCATTAGTATCTATGAGCGCTGGCTCAGGAACCACCAGCCTCCACGAAACAGCTACCCACGCACCAATGCCCCTATTGGTCACAATGATGGCTATTATATGGTTCCCTTCCTGCCTCTTTATAGAAACGGAGATTATTTCCTGTCCAATAAGGCTCTTGGATATGAATATGCCTATCTGTTGGACCCAGGTCAGTGCATAACTGTAAACATATCTCCTAAATGGCCTTTTCTTTAAGCTTTACTGTCCTATCCTATCTGTCTCACCATAGGTCAGAGGTTTGTTCAAGAGTTCCTGAACCCCTACCTCCAGCAGGCACAACAGATCTGGCAGTGGCTCGTGGGTGCCGGGATTCTGGGAGCTCTGATTGCTGCAATCATCGCAGTAATCATTGTTTTTGCAAGACGGAAATGGAAGCGCAATCAGAGGAAGAAGAGAGCATCAAGCTACGGGGAGAGACAGCCATTACTGCATAGCAGCTCAGAGGAAGGATCATCTTCATATCAGACCACTCTGTAACACAGGTACTGCACAACCCTGTGATGGTTATGAAGCCAATTAAAAACAAGAATCTGATTATGTTTTTTAAAATATAGTCATGTACAGATGAGCCAGTGAAGCAACTTTTTAAAAAAAAAGGAAAATACAGTTCATCCAAACAAGAAAAAAAATATTTACACCTCAGTGTCTTGCAGGTATCTACTATGGAATCAACAGAAAGGAAGTGGGTAGTGGTGATAGCACTGATAAATCACTGATATGTTAGCAACATAGCTGTCCGTGCAGACAGTTACAGGTTTTAAAAATAACTTTACATGGGTTTGCAGGATTTGTCTAATCTAATTAGGGTAGACAACAAGAAGCAACCTCCTTTGTATTAGCGTGATGGGGACAGGTGAAGCAAACCTTTAAGATTTGAGACCATTTAAAAAGAGACTATGAGCAAACAGCAGGGAGCTGCCACTGGGAGGATCACCTTAAAATGTTTTGCATTCAGTCGGCACACATTCGGAATAGAAAAATTATTTTGGGATTCCTTGAGGAAATAAGGCTCAAAGTAGTTTTTCTGATGTAGTTTTAACTTCCGGGGTTTTGTGAAATATGCAATAAATGTAAAAAATGTACATTAACCACTGTTGTGAGTTTAGTTTGAGTGGTTAAAAATATGATTTCAGAGAAAACAATGACTAAATTTCTAATGTGCTAATGTGTGTATTTGAACTGATGCTAAAAGACAGCGTGCAGTTTTTCTTGCAATCCTCTCACAAGCAAATTAACTGTAGTTGTTACAGTGCTTACAAAGATGAATCACGAGTTTGTACATGCTTCATTAAAAATCCAACTTGATGCAAATTTGCTGCCTATTTTTTTATGCAATAATGTTGATAATCACTTTTAAAAATAACTAGGAGATTGTGTATTTTACAGCATGGTGGCAGAAATCTGCATGTAATGCTGATTGACTGGGCTGTTCAGTTACTGCACTGCAGTGCGATGTTTGAGTGGTCATTACGACTAGAAATGTGTAGTTTCAATTATAAATAAATGTAAAACTAAATCACTCAATGATTGAAAACAGTACATTTAATAAAGATGTAATAAATATAAACCATTTATTTCATACTTGTGCCAAAAAAGAAAGTTGATCTTAAAGATTTAGATAAATGTCAAAAATTTCAAATTATAATTACAACGTTTACTCAGTTGATCAGAAAAAAATCAAGATGTTTATTCTTTGTAGAAACCTCCAGTCTCCAGTTTGTGGCATTCAAAAAAAATCAGAGGTTTTAAACATGACAAATACTAAAGTAAACCAGTAAATCATCATAACCTGAAATATGCTTCTGTTGTATACCTGTGAGTAGACTCAGTAAAGATTGCCAAAATCCTGCAGAACCTTGACATGTCAAATTGTACATTTATTTTAAACAATATAAATAAAGTAAGCAACAAAAAAAAAGTAAAAAAAAGCTTGAGGTGTAGTGGTGTGTAAAGACTGCATCATCGTGTGCCCATTTTTAAACCACACTGCCTCAGACTCTGAGATAAGTGTTGTAATACTTTTTTCTGCCTCTTAGTTTTGTCAAATGTCACACTTCCCTCCAGGCTGTCTACAAATCCTTCCACAGTGAGAGAAACATACAGACCCGTAACAATCTGCAGAGACCTAAAATCCTTGCCCCCTTTTCTGAGCGTTTAAATCTAACATGCATGCTAAACATACACTGCTTGACAATTTTCTTCGACCATCGCCCCAGTGTAAATTTAGCCCACAGTTGCCCTAAATTAACAGTACTGGTAATTACTAAAATCATTTTTATGTTGCTGTAATAGTTGATTCACCAGTATGCACATGTTCTTTAATAGAAATACCTTTAATGCTAAAATATAATTATTGTTATTATCCATTCATTTTCAGGTTTACTGCTTTACAAAAGTATGAAAAAATAGTAAAGCACATTATTAATATTATTATTTGAGTACGATACCAAATTACACTTAATTACCTGAACAGAGAAATCAGTTTTAGTGGTTTAATGTCTAATAAATTTGTTAAGCACTGTATTTGAAGAATGTGATCATCATTTAGTCAGCGTTCATCGACAAATCCAGGGTAATTACAACTTGGTAATAAGCAAGAATTAAGAATGTGTGAGCAGTATATTTTAGATGCTGACAAAACAAATGTTGGGCCAGTTGATTCTGGATGTAGAAGATATCCATATATTTTGGATATTTAGAACTAGGTGGGGGCTTGGCTCTTAAGTCTCTTAATACTGTGATAAGATCACGGTGAGTCACACCTTTTTCCTCACACTCGACTCCAACATGAGAATGCAATTTTACTCCACAGAGGGGTGCAACAGGGCAGGGATGATACAGAAGCTTCGGGAGACTCCAAGCTTTTCTCACATGTTGATTGGGTCACAAACCAAAGTCGAAGCTTATTTAAAGCACCCAACAGGCTGTTTCGATGTGCCAGACCTTTAGAAAACATGTACAGAGATTGAATATAAATAGTCTATCATTATTTAACTTTACAGTCAGTATTTATATCAAATGAAAATCCATCCAAGATTTTTTTAAGCAACCATGATTGTCCAAAGGTACTAAGAACTTTAATTTAACTAAAAACTTTTCCCATGATTGAATGAGAAGCCATCTACCCCAAAGTAGATGACTTCTACTGATATGCCCTGACAGTGTAGCACCAGCTCTAAAGTTTAATCAGCTGAACGACTCTTTGTTGAATTCGAATGTTGTTCCATTGTATTGAGGTGAGTTACACAGTCGGTGGAGAGTCCTGGAGATGCCCTTCGGTCCGCAGCAGAAAACACCAACACGTTTACTGAAACCACAGAGAAATCAATTTTAACAACAATGTTATATACACGTTTCTACAGCTACGAGACTCACTGGATAGTCCCACTGTACTCACTGTTTGTTGGATTTTTCAATTTCATCAAAGAGTAACTTCCACCTGGGCCGACCAATCTGCATCCTTGATGTGAGTGGGCGGTACTTCTCCTCGGACATGCTCTGCAAAAAAAGCATAAAAAACTAGGATGCTTTGAATTCACATTTGCATTAGATGTTACATAAAGTTAATGCTATTACTACTACAGAAAAAAAAACATAACAAAGAAACATTTATACTGTTTATGAGAAACATTTTTTGTTTGAGACTTCTATCAGATAAAGTGTACATCTCTCTAAATCAAAAAAGTGAAAAAGTCTGTTTTTTTCTCCTATTTTCTCCTAGAGGCTAAAAGAATGTGGTATCTAATTTAAGGGCCACCAGTGCTGGACATAGCTGTGTCAGTCTACTGTTAGTAGAGCAAAGGAAATTTAGTCACAAAAAGGTGAATGTAAATGAAATGGTAATCAACCAATAAACTGGCTGGTTTGGTGAACCTTAACACAGTTGGAAATTTGGAGCTTTTGGACATTTATTTTATTTTTATTGCAAAAAAGGGCAATTCAAATGCAATCTGCGTCCAGGACAGCAACAACCACAGTCCACAGTAATGTAAAGAGTAGTTTAACAAATTACTTTCTTGGCTAAGTAGTTAAATAATGTATCCTGTTATTTTTGAGAAAAGCAATGAATAATGTGGCAAACATTTTTGAGTAACCCCAAGGCTGATGGGAACACCCAGCGATGTTGTGTGATGCTAAACGGATAAAAAGACGTCGTCTCCCCGTCGGGGAATCGAACCCCGGTCTCCCGCGTGACAGGCGGGGATACTAACCACTATACTAACGAGGAGATAGGGAGAATTCGGCGTATGCCATACAAAAACAGAAGTCGGTCATTGTGACGTTATGCCTATTTGTAATGTATATTTATGTCAATAAGTCCATTGTATGTCCCGTAGCGGACACGGGTAGCTTCAGAATCGACGGCTAACTACTTCCTGTTATACGTCTTTGAAGCTCGCCGCTCGGGCCGCACGCTTAGTTTCTATACGGTAATGTAAATTCTCGGTGGACAAGTCACCGAGGTCACAAAATTTTAAAAAATGAATGAAGTAGGTGCTCGGACCAGAGAGGACCCCAGAGGACTCGATGCTCCGGACAGTTTAAAATAAGCAAGGGTCCGGTTGGGTCCGACTGACGTAAACTTCGTAATCAGACGTCCACCGCGAGAGTCGCACGAATACGTTCAAAACTCCTCAAAATGTTTTCGATAAACTAATATAACAGAATTATTTTTTTTCTATATTGGTTGGCTGTTACATCGCCTAAAAGAACAAAAGCGTTTGCTTTAATGGAACAGTCTAGAAAACATGCAACAGATACACTTTAAACTAGCTTCTCTCTGTTTGTAAAGCACCGCCCTCTAGTGGGTGGAGTTCTTAAAATCTAACAAAAGATCAACCGAGAAGAGCAAGTGACAATGAAATACAATAAAATTACAAGATTAGCAAAGAGAAACACTGATGTGTGTGTGTGTGTGTGTGTGTGTGCCACAATTACCTGCAAGCTGTCTGGTTGACTGATATACAGTTTCAGATTAAAGTAGTCCGGTCTGTTTTCGTTCCAGAGCTAAATGAAAAACATGGTTTGTAGTGTTGCTGATGTGTATTTGATTTCATTCATAAAGTATGATACAGGATATAAATGCAGCATTTATTTTCTAGATTTTTCTGAAATACAGAAGCAGAGGCGAGACTACAAACAGCCTCAAGACTGTGTGAAACCCAGCAAACAAAAAACAGAGGCTTTTTGCTCAAGTCTACAACTTCTGCTGTCTCACAGACACATACACCTCTGACCTTCGTCTGCCGAATGCCACAAACATTTAGAAAACTTGAATTATAGCTTGCCATTTAATTCTAGCATGATTCATATAACATGAAGGTTCTAACAGCCAGAGTTTGTCCTGACCTTGTGATGCAGAGCACACAGCAGCTCTGCGAACCAGTAAAACGACTGGAGTTCCTTGCAGACCCACACAAAATACAACCTCTGCAACCTGAAACCCATCCAGCCATCACTAGGTGTACAGCAGGAAGGAAGGAAGAAGTCCATTAATAAATGCCCAGTCTGTGCATCATTTATAAGCATATAATATATTTTTGTAAGAACTCACAGCAGCGCCCGCAGCACACAGGCGAACGGGGTGACTCCTATTCCGCCGGCAACACAAAGACTGACATCATAGTTGAATACCTCTTCTGACGGACCTCCAAATGGCCCATCAACATAAACTCTGAACATACAATGTGGACAAAAAAAACAACAACACAAAGAAAACAAAAGATCGTTGGCTGAGAAGCTACCAAGATAAATATACACATATGCAATTATATTTCTCCCTTGGGTCAAACACACATAAACATCCTGCATTTGAAATCCTAGTCTGGGTGCAGTTGTGTGTGTGTCTGTGTGTGTGTGTGCGTGTGTCTGTCTGTCTGTGCTCTGGTGTGTGTGAACTGACAAATAGACAGCAATCCCCCAAATACATAAATATCTCCACAACAGCTGCTCGCTCTCTTGTGTGATCAAGAATACACACACAAAAAATTAGACACAAACTTAACTCAATGTAACACAGAATACTGAGAAGATATCACACATGAAACTACATAAAAGATAAATAACATGAGGGCCATCCATATGAGGCGTGGTTTGTGAGGTTTGCCATTACTGTCACATAATCATGAATACAGGAATCTGTAACACTTCTGAAATATTTATATTCATGCTCAAAATATATTCCATTATTTTTAAAAAAAATGAAATTTGTTCCAACACAGGAGACCAAGGGGGTTTGGGCCTTTGATGGACTGTCTATCAAACACAGAGCAGGAAGAGCACTGAGTCAGAGGTCAAAAGGTTGAAACCTTAAGCCATTCTGGGATTCTGAGCCTTCATGAGAAATCAAGTCAGCCACATTATTTAAGCAGGCACACACAGAAACGTACTTGGGGTATCTCCTCTTTTGGGCCATGGGAAGGATCTCCATGTCTATCCTTGGCTCAGGAAGCAGCAGCTGTGTGAATCGTTCTGAGGACAGAGGAGAGGAGATCGTTTCAGGCATGGTGTGATTTGTGAAAAAACCAGAGGGATCTCCTAATGGTCACATATACTCTCAAGCCTATTAGAATATTTAAATACATAATGCTTCTGTCAATGTAACTTCCATCTATTCATTTTCTACTGCTTATCTGGGTCCAAGTTGCAGGGGCATGAGTCTGAGCAGAGAATCCCAGACTTGCATCACCTCAGCCTCCTGCAGCTCATCCAGGGTGACACAGAATTGTTTCCACGCCAGCTGTGAGATGTAATCTCTCCAGCAAGTCCTGGTTCTGCCCCAGGGGTCTCCTCTCACTAGGACATACTACAAATACCTCACCTGGGAGGCGTCCAGGAAGCATCCTAGTCAGATCCCTCAACTAACTCAGCAGACTCTTTTCGATGTGCAGGAGCAGCAGCTCTATTCTGACGCCCTCTAAATTGTCCGACCTCCTCATCCTGTCCCTTCGAGTCCCTTGAAACCCTTATATTGATGCTATGATTATTATTCCTTGTAATGCACTAATATCCTTATTCTTTCACCGATTTATTCAAAAACTGAGAAAAAGAAGGCAGAAATGGACAAGAGTAATCAATGGTTGCAATAGTTGTTAGTTTAAGTTGCAGGCTGCGTCAAGGTGACGTGTTCTTACATTTCCAAGGAGTTGCACGTCAGATTAGGTTGCAGGTAGGGTTATAGGGTTTTAGAAGTGTTTGCAGTTACAAAGTAGCTACGGCATGAATTTCCTACTGAAGCATAAATTCCCAGTAAGAGTTCATAAATTTTTGAAAATTAATTGGCCTGTAACACATTTCCAGCATCATAGGCTACAGGTCCTAACTCATGAATGTCAGTACTGATCTTTCCACTCAAAAACACACTTTATAGCTGCAGGATGTGGCAGACAGCAGTCCTGGTGCAAAGCTGCAATTCAACAAGTTAAAAAAATATGCACATCTCACCTTTGTGGGGAATTCTCAAGTGAACAATCAGACAAGCATATATTTCTAGAAATTATTTATGAGTCTGCTGTTGCTCTGAATATGGTTCATTTGTCTTTTATTTAGTTAGTATTAATTTTTACTTTGAATGGATGGTGCTGATTGGCCTACTGGAATGCTGAAAAGTGACAGGCAGTGTCATCTGTCACTGATCATAAGTACTGAAAATGAAAATACATTTCTGATTTTGTTCTTGTTCCCATTATAGACCGTTTTCAGATGTTGACACACACATACCCGGGGAGGTTAAAAATCGAATTACTCATGTACTCCATGTCAGGACTAATGAGCTGCAGTACTCATTGCATCACGTTAGTGTTTATCCTCAGCGTGCCTAAATTTCAGAAACAACTAATGACTGCAACGTAACCTCACATATGCCACATATCAGTACAAAGCCCCATCAGTCATCCTTTTATGATATTAAATATAACCAGAAAAAAATGCAGAGTTGGAGGATACAAGATAAACAAACAAAAATACGCTGATGTGGGACAAAAAGGCTGAGGGAGAAGCTTGTGCTCAAAAGATCAAAATGCTTAGAAAAACCTTATATGGAGCTGCTTCAAAATAAATCTAGCAACAGTATCTATATGTGATATATGTCCCAACACTGGTCATGAGCAATGCAACTAAAAGTACAGATATCGTTACCATGCAGAGATGTAGGCCCTTTCAGTACATCATTTCTGTCCTTCTCATTTCATCCTGTCATCCAGGATGATTAACTTCCCTTGGTGTGTATTAGGGTGTGTACCAAAGCAAGTGGAAAGGACAGTAAGTGTTTTAGCCAGAACTTCCACTAAAAGATATTTCCTTAAAGTTGGCTGCATGGTAACCAGTCCCTTTTCCTGAACAGACTGCACATACTGTGTCCAAATGACATCAAGTCCTCGTTCTGGTTTTATTAGTTAATGGAGTTCAAGAATGGTAAAAACTGCATTCTTGCCATTTTTAACATTCTTGAACTCCATTAACTAATGTGTCATCTAGGAAGATGATGAACCTGTGGAAACAATCTTGGCCTTGAGGTAAAGAAGGAGTCTTGCACACTCTCACTCACACACACAAGGAGAAAAAAACAGGGCATGATTACACACATCAGAATGCAGCTCTTCAGAAATGTGTCCTCAGCAGAGAGAACAAAACAAAACAGCTTCCATCCTGTCAGCTTTGATAGGGAATAGAAACTATGTGTCACTCTTTTCTCTGTGTGTGTGTGTGTGTGTGTGTATGTGTGAGCCCACCAGTCCAGTCTCCCACAACTCGCAGATGGATGCCCAAAGTTTCCTTGTTCTCTGTGGGACACTGTGAGGAGTTAAAGGGCTGACAGTTACTCAAAATACAAACACACACGTTAACACACAGAGACACGTGCAGCTAACACAAGAAAAACTGGCATACACACAAACACATGGGTCAGCACATATACAATACATAGCTACAGCTCTTTTCACTAAATTTAACAATCTACACACACACACACACATTGATGGACACACACACGCACGGCCTTCCTGTTGGCAGACAGTGTTACTAGCCTCAGGGGTCTGTCTGCTCTCTGTCAGAGTGATTCTCTACCCTCCTCCTCAAAGCTCTATAACACACCAGGCATAGGCATGCACAGTTATTGTGCTCCTTTGTGGGAATCAGTGGGTTTTGTATGTGGCTGCGTGTGTGTGTGTGTGTTTGTGTGTAAATGATTCCATCCCTTCCTGCTGTGCGAGCATACAGGGATTTCTTTCTCTTCTCCTACTGTATCATGGAATCTGAACTAATCCCGTAAGCATCAATACACAGCGTGAAACACAATATTACTGCACAGCCCAGGTGTCAGTCAAGTGCCAGTCATCAGCAGAGGGTGTGTTGAGTATCTACTAATAAACATCTGCATTCACATGTGTATACAGAATATATGTGTGCTTGCACTGTGTCACGACAGAGGAATGCGTTAAAGCGAGCTGCAGTAGGTCTTACCATTGTGAGCGTGAAGGGATGGTTCTCAAATGAGGAGACACCTGGGCAGTTAAGAAGAATATGCTGAGAAAAAAGAGGAGGACGGGAAGTTGCAGAGAGCCAGCAGGATGTAAAAGAAGGAGGACGGGGGGATTAGAGAGGGGGTATGTCGAGAGAAAGAAATCATCAGATGAATCAAATGAGTGGAATTTCCCTTCTCTCCAAAAAGCAGCGGATATTTGACCTACTCACCTGTCCAGGTCGAGCTTTGAAGTTCTTTTTCAGCATGCGCAACTCCACGACATCACAAGGGTGCCTGATGACTGTCACTATGGTAACAGGGTCACGGCTCTGGATGTAGCGGTAGAAACGCTCCACACAGTAGAGACAGAGAGGACCAGACACCCACAGCCACGTCTACAGAAACAACACAGCACAAACCAGGCATATGGGATAGATAATGAAAGCAGTTTCACAAAGACAGCTTTATGTCATGTGTGTTGCTCTCCTGAGTTTATTTTTTTTGCGATGTCACTATGTTACAAGATCTCAGCAGTTACTCTGGTGTGACCCCAACACTGTCACATAAAAGGAAAGATCTGAAAAATCAATGACTTAATAGCTCATGTGGCTCATGATCCATCACAGTTCCTGGTTACTGAAACGAGTGGACTACAGAAAGAAAAAGTTTTGTTGGTTCCAACTTTGTTTGGTCTTTTTTGTAGATAATGGCTCCCACTGTGGTTCTCTGGACTCTCAAAATCTTAGAAATTGCTTTGTAATTCTTTCCAGACTGAAAGATATCAGTGACTTTGCTGTTTATCTTGAGATTCTTAAGATCATGACATGATGTGTCATTTTTTAAAATCTTTCACTTTACTTCACTTTGTCAGACAGGCTGTATTTAAGTGATTTCTTGATTCAACAGGTCTGGGAGCTATCAGGCTTGAGTGAGGCTAGCTTTCCAGAAACTCTGCTTTATCGCAGTTAATTCACGATTTAACAAGCAGAGAGTGATTTCATTTATTTTGCCCAGTCAGTTAAGTCTTTATTTAAAAAGTGCATTTTGTATTTACTCCCACAAAGGGGGCAAATACTTTCGCGCAGCACTGTAAGCAAACCAATGACTGCTGCCGCTGTTCTGGTGGCATCAGTATTTGAAAAGTGGTTTGAATCATGAGGCTTGGCGACTGGAAACTTTGCATAATAAAGGCCATTCAAACTACAGCAGCCGAATTTTCCCTCGGGAATGTATCTAAGTCGGCGAATGTTAGTACAGAAATGTGTACCAGGTATTTTCTATCAAAGCTTTGTAATTCCATCAGCCTGCTCCCCATCACAATAACCCGAGGAGTCTGAATCAAATCCAGCTGAAAAGAGAGAGTACGCTCACAAGCATAAATACTAAATCGACTGATATCACAGTGTGAGGTTTTTCTCTTCCTTTCTGTTGGCAGTTACCTGTAACAGACTAATTGCTCGCAGCTTCAGTAAAGCCCTGGGAGCACAACTGTACTTAAGGGGGGATTTATGGAACCAGCTCGTTGCTTAACGACCAAGTGCAAACACATCATCACACACGCAGGAGGAAACACACACAAAAACAGGCCTTGATGTAGAGAAAGGATGCAGCCCCTCCCTAGCAGTATTACACCCCTGCTCAATGGGACCAGCTCCTACCAACACTTCCCAAATACCCAGCATTCATCCAAAAGCCCCGACCATAAACCCTAAAACACTGACGAAGACTTAAACAAACATTTCCTTCAACTCAAACCAAAACACAAACACATGTAAATATGCTCATAACACACATGCCTGGACCACTCACACACGCACACATGCACACACACACTCTGACCTGGGGATAATGTGGCTGGAAGCGAGCGTCCTCGTTGCATCGCCTCTCCTCTTCTTCACTCGTGTCCAGTTCATCTCCCTGCTGCTCGGTGCTGCTCTGGTTGGCTCTGAAGCAACCAGGGGGGTGTGCCTCTATGTTGGTCTGATACTTTAGAGCTCCACTGATGAAAACAACATAATGTTTTCATCAGTCACACTTTAGCACATTTACTCATCACTCTTTTACGACTACTCAGGCAAAATAGATTTAAAATGAAAACTAGGGGCTGACAGTTCAACCACACAGAAGAAAAAACAGGCGCGAACAAGCACTTGGCTGAATGGGATGACTAGTACCTGCATTTGAATTTCACCTGAAAGACTTTCAGTTCCTTGGAAAAACAAATGACTCTGTGTGTTGCATAAGTGTAGAGGGGAAACCCAAACACCCACATGCACTGTTAGTGCTACCTACCCAACCATGTGTATCATCAGGATGACGTAGAAAACAATGAAGAGGTTGTGTGTGTACCAGAAGATCTCATAGTTGGACATGCTGTAATAAATTACAAGACGATCAGAGTTTACTAAGGACATGATGTACAGACTCCCAGCTCAGAGCCTGAGTGAGGAGAACATCAAAGATCAGTAAAGAGGTCGTTACACAGAACAACCCCCCCATAAACACTGCAGACAACAACCAAGCTCTGTATTCTCCCTTTTTGAATGCAGCTCTTTTTTAATGGTAACTAAGATATACACAGCGTGGCTAAGATATCCTGTTACACCCAACAATGTCATACGATTCTTCTGGTTCTGTACTAACCAAAACATAGCTTAATCTGTCAATCATTCTCCAGAAACAACAACTAAACACAGCATAAATCTCTTTTAAGAACTTAAAAGAGAAACTATTAGAGCAACGTATCGCTCTCTGGCATGCAGTACAAAGCTCTGTTGTTTCTCTGAGTTAACTGTACTTGATCATGAAGTGGAATGATGCTAGAAGAGATTACTCAAGTTATCCCAATCTATCATTCCTGGGAAAGTGGAAGGAATCTTTGGAGAGGAAAGTTCCATTTCAAAAAATAAATACATAAAATTATTGCATCTTAGAATTCATTTCATGCATATTCTCACTTGAAATAAATTAAACACTGTGGCCCGTGACTTTTTCTTTTTTTTACATTAAGCTGTAAAAGTGGGCTTCTCTTCAAAGTCGTTAGATGAGCTCATAGAGCACACATTTTCTCCTCCATGGGCATCGTAACGCAAAGCTTCTCACAACTCAACACTTTCTAATGTTAAAGGCAACAGGGAGCAGACATGAAGGTACTGCAATCCGTAAAACATAAATAACCTTGGAGACTTTAAAGTAAGTTCATATCCGTGGATCACTGACTCATTAAGCAGGTATTCTTCTGCTGTGCAGCCGCCATCATCCCACCACTCCAGCCACTTAGCCAAATTCTTATCTAAAGCCTTAAGTGGTCTGGAAAAGCCTCTTATCCCCTGTTCAATTACCGAGGAAATCAGGGAGACCGTTCGGAAGACTAATACACGTATAGTGAGTGACCCACTATGACCTGAATAAGGACAGAGCTGTGATTTTCTTTCCCACAACCTTCTGTTATTGTGCCTCCTCATGGTCTCCAGCTTACATTTCACTTTGACTAACACAAAATGAGTCATGAGCTCAGACAGAAAGAGAAAAGCGAAGAAACACAACACAGAGATACTGATGTCTCGCCTTCTGTCTGACAGACAGACATAAATACAAATCATGTTTGTATCGAGGAGCGGAGACGTGGAGCCGGGCTCCAATTCATCCCAATTACAGTTGCTCATCAAGTCTATGAGGGTTCTTTCCTCGCTTCTATTAATACAAAGACTATGATGACTATTATAATGGTGGTCTGATTTAGCCTACCGTACACAGTAGGAGGAGGATATGAACATCAGGAAGAGGATGAGGACCAGCAGCACACCAGTGACTCCTGGGACTAAAGACAATAACTCAGTTACAGAATGGAGACAAAGCCAACAAAGTACTTAGGGGTCACAAACATACATATAAAAATACACATAAGGGAATTGTCTGCTCACACGTTTAAAGCAATATTTGCCATTTAATTTAATATAAAAACTGAATTTCAAAAACACAACATGACTTCCTATTCTTTCTAAAGCCACTAATCTGTACCATAGTGCATGACAAAGAGTAGTCCTTACTTGTGGTCAGAATAATCAGCATGGGGTCCTAGGAAAGAAAGCAGAAAATAAGAATTGTGTTCACTCTTCTGCATCTGTTTTTGTGAGGACCGATGAAGAGTTTTTGATCTCACAGACGAAGCCAAGTCTGTGCTTTGGAGAGAAAACTGTCTGCAGGCTTTTTTCCAACACATCACTTCAGCTGGTGACTTTCTAGAATGTTCTTGAAGGTGAGCTAATCAGCAGACAAAATCTCCAGACGACTAGCTTTGGCTAAAAGTGTGGACATATTTGGATATTTCCTTCACTTGCTCAAACAGGTTGATGCTTTCAGATTTAGAGATTGGTGTGCTTCACAATGAATGCGTCTCTGATTATGTAACAGTAGCTTAAGCTTTGATATAAAAGACAGTTAATCATCTGGCAATCCAGCAATCATGTTTTCTTTTAGTGGATGTTTTACATTGTGAATGACCAGGTGTGCAGGACTGTTTTGCTCATGTGCTCCAGATGTGGTCAGACAACAGGTTTCAAGCATGTCTTGAAACTGGAAGCACAGGATTTGCGGTGGGACGTGTCACTGTGATGGTGAGTTCAGGGGGGTGTGCTTGAGTCTCACCTCTCCTCTGTAGCGAGCCAAATTGAGAGCCGGAAAGTCATCTGAGTATCTCACACTGAATCTGACAAGATTAACCAGGTGGGCAGAAACGTGCATAACTAGAGGAGAAACAAAACGTTACACTGTGCTGATTTAAAACACATTTAGTGCGCACATACAAGACTTCAAACAGACACGCTCTCACTTAATTATACATGTTCAAATGAACTGCCGTCAGAAACTCATACAAACATTTCTTTGTCTATTCAGCAAAAACTCAGCAAAACAACCTCCCCACTTACTAGCTGGCACACACACACACACACAGGACACACACTCCTAGCTGACATCATGGCCAAACCACGCAGTTGTTCAACAGCTGATGGAATTAGAGGGTGTGATCACGAGACACAAGGGTCCTATTTTCTCTACTCGCATCCTTCGTCACTCCCACTGCCTCCTCTATTGCTCTCTTTTCTTTCCTCCTCCTCTCCGTCTGTCTCTCCCGCTGCCTCCCTTTGTTGTCATTTGTTGTCTCTGAGTTTTGTTTTTCAGCACATGAGAACTTTGCCCCGGGGTTGGGGGCGGGGGGACGCATATGCATAGGGAACTGCTGAGTAATGTTTAATGAGTTGAGAGGTGAGTGATGATGAAGATAAAAGAAGAACTTAAGTTTACAGGCAAAGAACAGATGCCAGCATTTGAAGTTTTTTTTAAAATTTTTTAAATTTCTGTCATTCTGCTGCCAAAATCTCAGCCGATCAACCCAGGCTGGAATATCCGTGAAACCACAGAATGGAAGATTTTAACCGACGTTCCCAGTCCCCAGATAATGGATTGCTTCTTTCTGACCATTTTGGTTTTAAGTAAAATGTCACTCCAACTGTTATATGGGCCGTGATAAAATGTGCTCTGAAGAAAATACAGGCATTCTGTTTCTATTTAATGCAAGTTAGCATGCTGATGTATGAATGTAAGCTGGTGAACATCAGTCTTTCTCTTCCATGGAGATGAACCTGCTTAATAAGCAATCAAGTAACGCAGTTTGATTGGTTAAACACTCTCAGCTGATGAATGAATGGCCTTATTTATCACTTTATCAGTAATCAGTAATGCATAATTTTGACAATCATCGTCTGGCCAGCTCGTCTCTGCAACCACCATTAATCACATTAATTAGTTAGATATTTAGAGCGAGGCAGGACCTTTTTACAATGCCCGAATCTCTGCTGCAGGAAAGCTCACAGCATGTGGCTTACCACTAACTTTACCTGCGGTTCAGCTTTTTGTGACACATGCAAGTAACTATAAGAAACAGCAATGCCGGTCAGGCTTCCCAGAAACATATGAATGAATAAGAGGAAGACCCCTGCAAAGAAGAGAGCCACTGGACCCACGGCTGCTTGCGGCTCCCATGATGTCATAGGAGACCCATAAGAATAACATACACACAGGACACGTAGACAGTAAAAAGAAACACAAACAGCAAGAAGAGCATCACAGCTGGTTCAGCAGAAATGCTGAGCCAGCATGGATTCATGTGTACACATTCAGCACACAGACTAACACAGACAGGCACACAGTGATACATGAATGAATATGAGGCAGGGTGACGAGTGACAGCTTTTACCAGAAAAGATGCAGATGGCAACGCCACACGCCACATGAAAGGTCTTGGACTTGTCCAGCAGTCTGCGTGTCTTTCTGCTTGATATCTGCATCAGTGTGTGTGTCACACAGACAATAGTATTATTCACGTGGCTGGGATTCAATGAAAACACCAACTAATCCTCTTCCTTCTACCCTAATCAAGACTGCAATCCTTTTATGTTTCTATATTCATATTTGCCTCTGTATTTTTTAGCAGTTCTTTTACAATATATGAGTCGCTTTTACAGAATAAGCCCCACAACCTGTTTTCACTGATACAACCAAACCCACTTGGAAGTTCTTCTTCCCGTCCCTAAAAACTCCAATGATCCATCCGAGCTGTAGTATTTCTTACCATCCGTGTTCCTCGTACAAAGGTCACCAGAGAGCGACACATGGGCAAAAGCACCAAGCTGCAGTTCAGGTTTAGCACAGTTGCAGATGCCCTGCTGATGCACAATCCTAGCTGGGAAAGACACACACACAGACACACACACACACACACATACATTGTTAGGCAAGTTGCCAACACTAGGCCTCATTTGGTGGGTGTAAAGTGGCCTGGTGGATTAAGGTGCACATTTTTGATTATTCCCATTCAGATATCAGCTATTCAATCATGGCCAATTGAATAGCTCGTAGTGCTAGATAAAACTACCTTTGTCTTTCTCAGAATAGAGAGCTAAGGACCCCTTTAGGAGTCTGTTAGTCTTTAAATGGAAGACATTCGTTTATTTTGAAAGTCATCCAGTTTTTGGCTTTAAAAAGGGATTTAAAAAGACTGGAAAACACTGTTTATTCTCTAAGTATACACTCAAAGACTCTTCTGACTACACCACTGTTTTGCCACCACTTGCAAGTTTTACAGTCTGTCATCCTTTCAGTACAGAGCAGGTTAAGTAGAGGCCCCTAACAAGTTGATGACAAGTGGACAGTTTACCTGAAGCGACACAGGGGGGACGTCTGCTGTGTAATGTGGTTTTACAAATCTTAATCTTAGAGCTCGACAATCGAAGCTGTTTTCAAGCTTAAAAGCCGGACGTCCTTTGGCATCTTGTAAACACAGCACATTTAAACACTTTCTTGGCAGCCTGAGCGTGCGCTGCAGGTGCCGTCTCTTCTGATTATCCCCAAGAAACTGAAATGACTGGTGTGAGAGATGAAGGTAAGCACAGATCAAAGACGGAGAGCGCGTCTGAAACTGGAGTCCAGCCTTTGAAGGGATGGGGGATTTAAATAGCAGTAAAGATTTGTGATGGCTGTAAGAGATGCAACATAATATAGGAAGTGCGCTTAAAACAATGCGATTCCTTAAGGCGGCAGCAGCTTCAGTCACCAGTTTCATGTGATTAGCTGTCACAGTGTGCTGTACAACAGATGCTGAAATATAAGAATGTGGTGAAACAACTGGTCAAGAGTCAAAATCTACATATAGCAGATGATGGGGGGAGACCAGCATGCTTATAAATCAGACGCCTACACCTTTGAAAGACTTCCCACACACACACGTTCACTCAGCATACCTTACTAAGAACAGCTGACGCCAAAACCAAGCAGGAGGTCTGATATCCTCCCTGCTTTCTGTACATCCCCAAAACCCGATTTACACAGGTGAAGGAGAAAAGTTGGATATATGAAGTTTGAGCTGGATTCAGTTTGCCTTCGAAATACATCTCCGTCTTGCATGTACACACGTACACGTGCAGACACACACATAAGCTTAAGCCCTCTGGTAAGGCATTCAGCAGCGTGCCCACACTTGCCCCTCTCTCCCCTTTGCTATCCACTGTACACGCAGTGCAATAGCTCGCACATGCTGCTCGCTGCCACATCTAATTTTATCACTTCCAGCTTTACCTTTGTTTTTTTCATCTGCTGGCTTTTCATACTAGCTTTAACAACTTCATTTACAAATACTTGTACTGTATTATATGTGCTAAACTTTGTTCTTGGCACATTTCAGTTATCAGTTTGGAGTTTGTTCAGCACAATTTGATATATTTTTAAACACAGAATCCAGGTGAGTGCTTTTTTTTTTGCTATATTTGCATAAAAAATGTGATTTTTGGGAGAAAATCACAGATCTGGTGCAGAAGTAATGACTGCAATTATTATTTCCAAAGACAAGGAACTTTTTCACTCACACAAGCATGCATCGAGAGTCACACACCCACGCCCACAGAGACACCATTGAGACCTTGTGACAAAAATTACACCACATGAGCGAGCAGGCATTAAAATCTAAACCTGATTCTATGTGTGTGTGACTGGTTGACCCAGCTCATGTCCCTGCTGCCTGGTTCTGGAGGTCACAATAACAAGCCAATACACGTGGTGCTTTTATCTCTTCCTTAACAACAATAAGAATCAAATTTTTCGCAGAAAATAGTGTAAAAGTCACACACACAACCTTGTTTATTTGTGGAATTATGAAGAGCACTGTAGGTCTACTGAATAAAGCTACTGTCAGCGGTTCCCTTACTCACAAGAACCAGGGATTTTTCACTTATCAGCCAAAATATGTGAATCACTACATCATGGAGCTACACTTTGTAGGCCTTATGAAGGTACATGATTTATAAGTAATCTCAAATGATATGGTGGAAATGACAGAGCAGAGGAAAAAGCGTGATTTCAGAAGACGAAAGTCACTTATACGTTTCTCACAGCTGGTAAAAACACAGCTGCTACTTACATCATTAAGAGTGACCTTGTTATTTTCAGTTTTCTTTTGTGAATGTTAGCTGGCATCAACAATATCATGACCTTCAGGGTCACTGATGAGTTTTTCCTGTCTCACATGACAAGATGTACAAAAATAAAAATCTTGGAAAATCTGTTTATGTCTAATCAAACATATGCAGCTAAGAAAGGGTTTGATGTAAGGGCTCAGTAAAGGGTCCGTTTCCTTCTTTAAGCTTGGTTCAAAACAACACATCTAGAAAGTGCATGTAAATGTATCAGGTCTCACCCCGAGCATCTTGTAAAGGTAGTGGTATTGCTGTCCAGTGAAGTAGAGCAGGAAGGTGCTGATGAACAGCCAGGTGTTAACTCCCAGCCACAGAATCTACCCCCACACACACGCAGAGAGACACACACACACACACACACGGAACACATCATCACAAACAGCACAAGAAATTGCCTGTAAACGTCTCGTGCACATCTGTATCTGAGTTCAGGCCACAGCTGCCCTACAATAGCCAAGCAGACTGCATGGATACAACATGTACTAAACACAGTAACTGAGCAGCAACAGATTCATTTGAGCGTTCTTGGAGAATTGTGTAAGTTAAAGATAAATAACAGATATATTAACGAGTCAGTTAACAGATTTAAGTGGAGATGGGTGGTTTTCAAATGTCAGACAAAAACTTTCCCCACCAGGACGAAGTACTTCCCTCCTTCGTTGGCCACCCAGCTCCGCGCCGACACAACCATGATGCCTTCAGGGGCTCAGCAGCTCCCCAAACTTTTCACCAAAGCTCCGGTGCGGTCAAGATCTCAGAGACTCGTCCTCCCTGCAGCTCTGCCTCAGTCTGTATGCCAGACTGCAGTGTCCACAGAGCAGCCGGTGCCTGCTCAGTCCAACCTCCCAGGAACTCCTCCGTTCACAGTGCATTTTCACTTTTTAGCCACCACAGCTCTTTCTCTCTCTGCCCCTCTCACCAGTCCCCCCCATGAACGACACGCAAGGACATTAAGACAGCAGCTTCCCTAAAACATCGTGAATTTATAAAAATACACAGGACGTGCTCATTGAAACCACAAACACACTTGGGGGGAACAATAAACTACGATTAATCGCACCTTGCTGCGTTTTTCTGGCACTAGAGGGCGCTATAGACAAGCGTATCCCCGTGAAGTCTCCCATCTTTGACTCTTATGAGGTACTTTTTAAAAAATTATACTTACACTTTTAATCACACATTTTAATTGCTGTTTTTTAATTACAAAGAGTTACAAAGTTGAAGTTTATTTGAAGCCGGAGTGTCACACTCTTTCTTTTGTCTGATCTGAAGTGGGGTTGGTAGGTCGATAATCAAAGGAGCTTGCAAAGAAAAGCGTCTGGACTTCTTTAAGTTGCTTGAAGACGTTTCACCTCTCATCAAGCTTCTTCAGTTCTAAGGTCAAAGGTCAAAGAACTGAAGAAGCTTCTCGGATGAGAGGTGAAACGTCTTCAAGCAACTTAAAGAAGTCCAGACGCTTTTCTTTGCAAGCTCCTTTGACTACGATGACCTGGATGACTGAGAACCTTCACAGACACGTAGGTCGATAATAACTTGCCTGACTTTAAAGGACAATTATTTTATTTTAAAAAATTCCATTTAACTAAACCAAACACTTTAAAGTACAGACGAACAGTCTGGAAAAAAAATACACTGACAATTTTTTGAAGTAAACAACTAATGTGTTGTAGTCTTTATGACAATTTTAGCAGGCATGACGTTAACAGTGCAATTAATTGAAAAATAGTTATAGATTTTACGCTTTAGCACACACACAGAACCATGTAGTGGAACTATAATAATAACTTTTATATTACCAAGAAATTATTAACACTGACTTATTAACGTATTAACTTATTAATGTGCTGTTTATGCAATAAGAAACCACTGAGATGAAGCTACTTCCGGCTGCTCCCTCTTCTTCACGAGGGGTAACAGGGGGTAGCTCTGCATGTTTGATTTGGCACCGGATGGCCTTCCTGACCCAACACCAAAGGACAGTTGACCACAGAGAAATTATTGCTAAAATTATAACTGTATAATCACTGTGAGAGATATTAGATGTTTGATTTGAATTTTTGCTAACAAACTAAGAATTGCTGTTTGGGGAGATGCATGTGAGAGTCCATGTTATTGTGATTATGACCTTTAGATCTCTGCATGGACAAACACCAGCATACATCAGAGAACATTTACACCCATAGGTCCCCAGAGGTCTCTGAGGTCATGTGATCAGGTCTTTGTGTATCATCCAAGGCTGAAAACTAAAGCAGACAGTGCTTTTGCAACAGTTGCTCCAAGACTCTGAAACTCCTTCTGAGCTTGGGGATCTTTGGGTTTGATGAACGCTTTCAAAAACAGATAAAAACTCATTTTTTTTAGACTTTTTGTTCTTCTGTTTTTCAGCATTTTGTTGTGAAGCCCTTTGTGATGTTTTTCTTGAAATGTGTTATACAAATAAAACTTTCTTACTTACAGTTTATTAATTATACCTGAACAACAAGTTAAATAAATAAAAAAAATCAACATCTAAATGCCGATAATTAAATTTGATTCCCAGATAAACAGCTTGTTGAGGAGTCACTGTTGTGGTTTGTGAACTCCTCACATTCCTGAGGGCAGAGAGCCTCCTCCCCACTTCACGCTTCAGCCGACTGCATGAAAGAGCTATCCTATACACCACACAGCTGTTCACAGAGCCAGGAGGTGTCAAGCAGAGCAGAGCATGCAAGTCTTTGCTGTGGGAAACCATGCATGACTATCAATAGCAACAGACAGTGGTCTAATAGGAAATCATGAAATTTTAGCTGATATGGATCTTAAAGTAAATAAACTTGTGCTTAATAACCTGCTTCCCTCTGTAGGAGCTCGGCTCACATTTCAGCAATGTGTAGAAAAGGGATTAAAGCTATCACACCTTTGATTGTGTGACAGAAATGGGTTTCACTAACCTGATTTGTTAGATCCCTCCTTTCTAAATAAAAGCCTCTGTAGCTGGTGAAATGTGCATTTTATTTCTTTTATTTGAGATTAATTACATTTTTATTATTAAAAAGGCCAATATCAGACATTTCCAGGTTTGGTACTTTGATGGAGGTTATGAGAGAGTTCAGAAAGAGCATGCTGGGCTAAAGTTTGTTCAGCTGGATCAGTGTCTGCTGACTAGAAGTGTTCAGTGCCCTACAAATTTCCCCCATGACCGAAAGTGATTTAGTATCTGCTATTCCATTTTCACTCAGCCAACCTCTGCTTTTTTTCTCCACTAGTGTCATTAACCCCCACCCCCCACTAGGAAAACAGTATCCAGAGTGGCTATCTTGTTTTATACTGAGTAATAACTGAGTCAGCACTGGAACAGCCAAGGTGCACGGCACAGCAATCAGCTCACAGGCAAAGCCAAGCATTAATGACTAGTTTCTTCTTTGCATTCCTGTCCAAGTTTTCACTCACCGCCTCTTTCAGTCAGCCACCACACTCCCTCCCTCTCTGTGTATCACACTCCACCTCACTCTGCCATTCCCCCGCTGTGCACTTCTCAAACAAATTACTCTCTATCGCTATCTCTGCAAGCGTGCCCTGTGGAGTCAGTTGTGTCCGTGTGTGGAAAAGTTGGAGCTGTGCCGTTTTAAAATGAGGAAAGAGAGCAGGTGGATTCGGTGGATCAAGTGGATTGTGATTGTGACAGTTTTGTTCGTGCTGGGCTTCTGCATAGGTAAGCTCGTAAAGCCAACCCTAGCTTTATCTGTATACTGATTGATATTGCCTGCGTGCTTTTCTGTTCCTTTTTAATGAAGTCTCTAATGCTATTGGGGGAACAACAGCATAGCTGTCCTGGTATTAATGAAGAAACCAGAGAGAGTTAATTAAATGACTTAAATAAATACACTGCTTAAAGAGATAAAGCTTTTTTTTTGTTTTGTTTTTGTGAATTTGTCTAAAATGATTAATGTGAACTGTTAAAGTACTTAGTGCCCTTCGTGATGGCACAGTTTGAAGAGCTTGAGTGTCACCATACTGACAGATTTCATGTCTTTGTGCTCACAGCAGGTTAACACTCACTCCATAAACCCAACGAACCTTACAATATAACATTGGCAACCTTTTGTCAAGCACCAATACAACCAGTATAGTCCATCTATAGCCTTCTATTTCCTCTTTAAACTAACAATTTTAAACACATAACAGTGTGTGTGGTAACAATTCGCTTCTTAAGAGAAGTGATGCCGTTACAACTCACTCAATGCTTGTTTGTGCTCTATTTGTCTATGTGTAGGCTGGTTTGCAAAGCCTTCAAACACACAAAACCACACGGATTCCAGCCATTACCTGAAGGATTTTTTGGAGGAAATGAAGGCAGATAAGATCAGAGAACATCTGAGGTAAAAAGTGATCACCAGTATACTAAATCTGTTGTGTAAATCTGTTTTGCAGTGGTCTCTGTTGACTTTTTGACCCCCTCTGCTCCAATGTTTGTAGTCGCACAGCAGTACTAGTCATGGCGCTGACATCCCACTGACTCACCCAAATCTAACATGGTGTGCCAGGTGGTTTGTTGAGACCTCTGAGGACTCCAGCAAAGTGTACTGAAATCATGCTGGTTACTAAATACTTAGTTTTTTATTGTGAAGTCTAGTTTTGATACAAAGAACCTGAAGGTGAACTATAGCAACATGAACTGTTTTAGTTGAGTGAAAACATCTGGGCATGTGCATCATGTTGCGTTCAAGTGAAATCATGTATCAGCCTTGAATGCATGTAATAATTTTCTTTACATTTATTTTTTATGTATTCAGTTCAAGGTGCTATTCTTCACATAACAGTGCCACTGTAACCATCAGCATCCTCTCCACAGGAAATTTACACAACTCCCTCACCTGGCAGGCACAGAGCAGAACCTGAAGTATGCGGAGCAGATCATGAAAGAGTGGCAGATGTTTGGAATAGACTCAGTGGAGATGGTGCCGTATGATGTCCTCTTGTCCTATCCCAATGAGTCACAACCAAATTACATCTCAATTGTTGATCACCTTGGCAATGAGGTACAGTGTGCTGGAAAAATGTGTACTGAAAGTGCATGTTGATGCAACATTGATTCAAAAAGACAGCATGCAAATTGTTGTGCAAGCTTTCTTGTGTCTGGTGCAATATTTCTGTTTTTATAGCATTAGGATGGAAGTCATTGTCATTTCATTTCATAGTCTGTAAAACAACCATTTTCATGTCTTGTGTTCAGATAGTGGAACCACTTTGGATTTATTTGTACTTCACACAGTGGGACACATTTAGTGACACTAATCCATTTCACCACCTCAAGAATAAAAAGGCTCTTGTGATTTTCCCATGCATTTGAACATTCAGACCTCTTACTATTTCTCACTGTATCTGGAGAGGTAACAAAGTTGCTGACTGCATGTAGAAAAGACACACAGTAACATATTACTTCAACCCCCCTCTCCTCTCCTCCCCCACCCTTCTGATAGTCTTCACCACAGAAATGCAAGACTTACTTGTTTGAGTCCAAGGTCCTTTTAAGGTCTCGGTGTGAGATAAACCTCTGTGAGTGTCTGATAATGATACAACACAGAAAAACAGTATTGGTGCACTGTTGTATATCAGCTGGTTTGGATGCATTAAGGAGTTTAAAAGCAATCAGAGCAGCTAAATGTCTGAAGCCTGGAAATTATTTCAGGAAGTCAGATTGAGCTTGTACGACAGAGGTGCTTCACACCATAACAAGCAGGAGTCGTGTGGTCCTGTGCTCTATATACGTAAGGACCCAAAAGCGTCCAGTTTATACTGTCATCCTTTATTTTCTGCTGTTGGTGTATTTGCTTATGGTATACATCA